ACCAGGGAAGCCCCCTACATATATTTTTTTTAACATCTTTACTGGAGTATAATTGCTTTACAATGGTGTGTTAGTTTCTGCTTTACAACAAAATGAATCAGTTATATATATACATATGTTCCCATATCTCTTCCCTCTTGCGTCGCCCTCCCTCCCACCCTCCCTATCCCACCCCTCCAGGCGGTCAAAAAGCACCGAGCTGATCTCCCTGTGCTATGCGGCTGCTTCCCACTAGCTATCTACCTTACGTTTGGTAGTGTATATATGTCCATGCCTCTCTCTTGCTTTGTCACAGCTCACCCTTCCCCCTCCCCATATCCTCAAGTCCATTCTTTAGTAGGTCTGTGTCTTCATTCCTGTCTTACTCCTAGGTTCTTCATGACATTTTTTTTCTTAAATTCCATATATATGTGTTAGCATACGGTATTTGTCTCTCTCTTTCTGACTTACTTCACTCTGTATGACAGACTCTAGGTCTATCCACCTCATTGCAAATAGCTCAATTTCATTTCTTTATGGCTGACTAATATTCCATTGTATATATGTGCCACATCTTCTTTATCCATTCATCCGATGATGGACACTTAGGTTGTTTCCATCTCCGGGCTATTGTAAATAGAGCTGCAATGAACATTTTGGTACATGACTCTTTTTGAATTATGGTTTTCTCAGGGTATATGCCCAGTAGTGGGATTTCTGGGTCATATGGTAGTTCTATTTGTAGTTTTCTAAGGAACCTCCATACTGTTCTCCACAGTGGCTGTATCAATTTACATTCCCACCAATAGTGCAACAGTGTTCCTTTTCTCCCCACCCCCTCCAGCATTTACTGTTTCTAGATTTTTTGATGATGGCCATTCTGACCGGTGTGAGATGATATCTCATTGTAGTTTTGATTTGCATTTCTCTAATGATTAGTGATGTTGAGCATTCTTTCATGTGTTTGTTGGCAGTCTGTATATCTTCTTTGGAGAAATGTCTATTTAGGTCTTCTGCCCATTTTTGGATTCGGTTGTTTGTTTTTTTGTTATTAAGCTGCATGAGCTGCTTATAAATTTTGGAGATTAATCCTTTGTCAGTTGCTTCATTTGCAAATATTTTCTCCCATTCTGAGGGTTGTCTTTTAGTCTTGTTTATGGTTTCCTTTGCTGTGCAAAAGCTTTGAAGTTTCATTAGGTCCCATTTGTTTATTTTTGTTTTTATTTCCATTTCTCTAGAAGGTCGGTCAAAAAGGATCTTGCTGTGATTTATGTCACAGAGTGTTCTGCCTATGTTTTCCTCTAACAGTTTGATAGTTTCTGGCCTTACATTTAGGTCTTTAATCCATTTTGAGCTTATTTTTGTGTATGGTGTTAGGGAGTGAGCTAATCTCATACTTTTACATGTAGCTGTCCAGTTTTCCCAGCACCACTTATTGAAGAGGCTGTCCTTTCCCCACTGTATATTCCTGCCTCCTTTATCAAAGACAGGGTGACCATATGTGCGTGGGTTTATCTCTGGGCTTCCTATCCTGTTCCATTGAGCTATGTTTCTGTTTTTGTGCCATTACCATACTGTCTTGATTACTGTAGCTTTGTAGTATAGTCTGAAGTCAGGGAGTCTGATTCCTCCAGCCCTGTTTTTCTTTCTCAAGATTGCTTTGGCTATTTGGGGTCTTTTGTGTTTCCATACAAATTCTGAAATTTTTTGTTCTAGTTCTGTGAAAAATGCCAGTGGTAGTTTGATAGGGATTGCATTGAATCTGTAGATTGCTTTGGGTAGTAGAGTCATTTTCACAATGTTGATTCTTCCAATCCAAGAACATGGTATATCTCTCCATCTATTTGTATCATCTTTAATTTCTTTCATCAGTGTCTTATAATTTTCTGCATACAGGTCTTTTGTCTCCTTAGGTAGGTTTATTCCTAGATATTTTATTCTTTTTGTTGCAATGGTAAATGGGAGTGTTTTCTTGATTTCACTTTCAGATTTTTCATCATTAGTGAATAGGAATGCCAGAGATTTCTGTGCATTAATTTTGTATCCTGCTACTTTACAAATTTGTTCATTAGCTCTAGTAGTTTTCTCGTAGCATCTTTAGGATTCTCTATGTATAGCATCATGTCATCTGCAAACAGTGACAGCTTTACTTCTTCTTTTCCGATTTGCATTCCTTTTATTTCCTTTTCTTCTCTGATTGCTGTGGCTAAAACTTCCAAAAATATGTTGAATAATAGTGGTGAGAGTGGGCAACCTTGTCTTGTTCCTGATCTTAGTGGAAATGCTTTCAGTTTTTCAGTATTGAGGACGATGTTGGCTGTGGGTTTGTCATATATGGCCTTTATTACGTTGAGGAAAGTTCCCTCTATGCCTACTTTCTGCAGGTTTTTTATCATAAATGGGTGTTGAATTTTGTCAAAAGCTTTCTCTGAATCTATTGAGATGATCATATGGTTTTTCTCCTTCAATTTGTTAATGTGGTGTATCACGTTGATTGATTTGCGTATATTGAAGAATCCTTGCATTCCTGGAATAAACCCCACTTGATCATGGTGTATGATCCTTTTAATGTGCTGTTGGATTCTGTTTGCTAGTATTTTGTTGAGGATTTTTGCATCTATGTTCATCAGTGATATTGGCCTGTAGTTTTCTTTCTTTGCGACAACTTTGTCTGGTTTTGGTATCAGGGTGATGGTGGCCTCGTAGAATTAGTTTGGGAGTTTTCCTCCCTCTGCTATATTTTGGAAGAGTTTGAGAAGGATAGGTGTTAGCTCTTCTCTAAATGTTTGATAGAATTTGCCTGTGAAGCCATCTGGTCCTGGGCTTTTGTTTGTTGGAAGATTATTAATCACAGTTTCAATTTCAATGCTTGTGATTGGTCTGTTCATATTTTCTATTTCTTCCTGATTCAGTCTTGGAAGGTTGTGCTTTTCTAAGAATTTGTCCATTTCTTTCAGGTTGTCCATTTTATTGGCATAGAGTTGCTTGTAGTAATTTCTCATGATCTTTTGTATTTCTGCAGTGTCAGTTGTTACTTCTCCTTTTTCATTTCTAATTCTATTGATTTGAGTCTTCTCCCTTTTTTTCTTGATGAGTCTGGCTAATGGTTTATCAATTTTATCTTCTCAAAGAACCAGCTTTTAGTTTTATGGATCTTTGCTATCGTTTCCTTCATTTCCTTTTCATTTATTTCTGATCTGATTTTTATGATTTCTTTCCTTCTGCTAACTTTGGGGGGTTTTTGTTCTTCTTTCTCTAATTGCTTTAGGTGCAAGGTTAGGTTGTTTATTCGAGATATTTCCTGTTTCTTAAGGTAGGATTGTATTGCTATAAACTTCCCTCTTAGAACTGCTTTTGCTGCATCCCATAGATTTTGGGTCGTCATGTCTCCATTGTCATTTGTTTCTAGGTATTTTTTGACTTCCTCTTTGATTTCTTCAGTGATCACTTCGTTATTAAGTAGTGTATTGTTTAGCGTCCATGTGTTTGTATTGTTTACAGATCTTTTCCTGTAATTGATATCTAGTTTCATAGCATTGTGGTCGGAAAAGATACTTGATACAATTTCAGTTTTCTTATATTTACCAAGGCTTGATTTGTGACCCAAGATATGATCTATCCTGGAGGATGTTCCATGAGCACTTGAGAAAAATGTGTATTCTGTTGTTTTTGAATGGAATGTCCTATAAATATCAATTAAGTCCATCTTGTTTAATGTATCATTTAAAGCTTGTGTTTCCTTATTTATTTTCATTTTGGATGATCTTTCCATTGGTGAAAGTGGGGTGTTAAAGTCCCCTACTATGAATGTGTTACAGTCGATTTCCCCTTTTATGGCTGTCAGTATTTGCCTTATGTATTGAGGTGCTCCTATGTTGGGTTCATAAATATATACAGTTGTTATATCTTCTTCTTGGATCCCTTGATCATTATGTAGTGTCCTCCTTTGTCTCTTCTAATAGTCTTTATTTTTAAGTCTATTTTGTCTGATATGAGAATTGCTACTCCAGCTTTCTTTTGGTTTCCATTTGCATGAAATATCTTTTTCCATCCCCTTACTTTCAGACTGTATGTGTCTCTAGGTCTGAAGTGGGTCTCTTGTAGACAGCAAATATATGGGTCTTGTTTTTGTATCCATTCAGCCAGTCTGTGTCTTTTGGTGGGAGCATTTAATCCATTTACATTTAAGGTAATTATCAATATGTATGTTCTTATTCCCATTTTCTTATTTGTTTTGGGTTCGCTATTGTAGGTCTTTTCCTTCTCTGTGTTTCTTGCCTAGAGAAGTTCCTTTAGCAGATGTTGTAGAGCTGGTTTGGTGGTGCTGAACTCTCTCAGCTTTTGCTTGTCTGTAAAGGTTTTAATTTCTCCATCAAATCTGAATGAGATCCTTGCTGGGTAGAGTAATCTTGGTTGCAGGTTCTTCTCCTTCATCACTTTAAATATGTCCTGCCAGTCCCTTCTGGCTTGCAGAGTTTCTGCTCAAAGATCAGCTGTTAACCTTATGGGGATTCCCTTGTGTATTATTTGTTGTTTTTCCCTTGCTGCTTTTAATATATTTTCTTTGTATTTAATTTTTGACAGTTTGATTAATATGTGTCTTGGCATGTTACTCCTTGGATTTATCCTGTATGGGACTCTCTGTGCTTCCTGGACTTGATTAACTATTTCCTTTCCCATATTAGGGATGTTTTCAACTATAATCTCTTCAAATATTTTCTCAGTCCCTTCCTTTTTCTCTTCTTCTTCTGGAACCCCTATAATTCGAATGTTGGTGTGTTTAATGTTGTCCCAGAGGTCTCTGAGACTGTCCTCAGTTCTTTTCATTCTTTTTTCTGTATTCTGCTCTGCAGTAGTTATTCCCACTATTTTATCTTCCAGGTCACTTATCCGTTCTTCTGCCTCAGTTATTCTGCTTTTGATCCCTTCTAGAGTATTTTTAATTTCATTTATTGTGTTGTTCATCACTGCTTGTTTCATCTTTAGTTCTTCTAGGTCCTTGTTAAATGTTTCTTGCATTTTCTCTATTCTATTTCCAAGATTTTGGATCATCTTTACTATCATTATTCTGAATTCTTTTTCAGGTAGACTGCCTATTTCCTCTTCATTTGTTAGGTCTGGTGGTTTTTTACCTTGCTCCTTCATCTGCTGTGTGTTTTTCTGTCTTCTCATTTTGCTTATCTTAATGTGTTTGCGGTCTCCTTTTTGCAGACTGCAGGTTCGTAGTTCCCGCTGTTTTTGGTGTCTGTCTCCAGTGGCTAAAGTTGGTTCAGTGGGTTGTGTAGGCTTCCTGGTGGAGGGGACTAGTGCCTGTGTTCTGGTGGATGAGGCTGGATCTTGTCTTTCTGGTGGGCAGGTCCACGTCTGGTGGTGTGTTTTGGGGTGTCTGTGGACTTATTATGATTTTAGGCAGCCTCTCTGCTAATGGGTGGGGTTGTGTTCCTGTCTTGCTAGTTGTTTGGCATAGGATGTCCAGCACTGTAGCTTGCTGGTTGTTGAGTGAAGCTGGGTGCTGGTGTTGAGATGGAGATCTCTGGGAGATTTTCACCATTTGATATTATGTGGGGCTGGGAGGTCTCTTGTGGACCAGTGTCCTGAAGTTGGCTCTCCCACCTCAGAGGCACAACACTGACTGCTGACTGCAGCACCAAGAGCATTTCATCCACACGGCTCAGAATAAAAGGGAGAAAAGTAGAAAGAAAGAATTAGTAGAAGCAGAAAGAAAGAAAGAAACAAACAAACAAACAAAGGAGGGAGGGAGGAAGGAAGGTAGGAGGGAAGGAAGGAAAAGAAGAAAGAAAGAAGATAAAGTAAAATAAAGTAAGATAAAATTAATAAAGTTATTAAAATAAAAAAATAATTATTAAGAGAAAAAAAAACGGACAGATAGAACCCTAGGACAAATGGTGGAAGCAAAGCTATACAGACAAAATCTCACACAGAAGCATACACATACACACTCACAAAAAGAGAAAAAGGGGAAAAAATATATATATCTTTGCTTCTAAAGTCCACCTCCTCAATTTGGGATGATTCGTTTTCTATTCATGTATTCCACAGATGCAGGTACATCAAGCTGATTGTGGAGCTTTAATCCGCTGCTCCTGGGGCTGCTGGGAGAGATTTCCCTTTCTCCTCTTTGTTGTCACAGCTCCCGGGGCTCAGCTTTGGATTTGGCCCCGCCTCTGCGTGTAGGTCGCAGGAGGGCGTCTGTTCTTCGCTCAGACAGGACCGGGTTAAAGGAGCCGCTGATTCGGGGGCTCTGGCTCACTCAGGCCGGGGGGGAGGGAGGGGGAGGGCGGGGCATGGAGTGTGGGGCGAGCCTGCGGCTGCAGAGGCCAGCGTGACGTTGCACCAGCCTGAGGCGCGCCGTGCGTTCTCCCGGGGAAGTTGTCCGTGGATCCCGGGACCCTGGCAGTGGCGGGCTGCACAGGCTCCCCGGAAGGGGGGTGTGGATAGTGACCTGCGGTTGCACACAGGCTTCTTGGGGGCGGCAGCAGCAGCCTTAGCGTCTCCTGCCCGTCTCTGGGGTCCGCGCTTTTAGCCGCGGCTCGCGCCCGTCTCTGGAGTTCCTTACAGCGCTCTTAATCCCCTCTCCTCGCGCACCAGGAAACAAAAACCCTACGTATATTTTTAAATGATGGAATATTAGTCCATTATATGATTTTATGGTTTACTTAACCACCTACTTTGAACAACCTTTTAGATAGTTTTTGTTTTTTGTTTTTTTTTACTATTTAAGTAATGCTGCAGCCACAACCCTCTTCCTAGGATAAAATTCCAGGAGTGCAATGTACATGAACATTTTAAGATTTTCTCTAATGAATTATCTATTAATGTTATTTGCATAGTTGAAATTTTTGGAGGGAGTGCTTTTCTTGTTCATTTATATTACCTTGTATATTATAGATCATTGATATATTAATGATCATTGATCATTTTAGTGAATAATATTTTTCCAAGTTTGTTTTCTCTTAATTTTGTATATAATGGTTTTCAAAATAAAACAGGTTTGAAATTTTAGGTAGTAACCCATAAATCTTTCCTTTATGACACTTTCATAGCTTTTTTGTTTATTAAATTCCTTCCCTATACAGAGATTTTTTTTTCTTAAAATCACCTATACTTTTTTCAACTTTCTTTTACAGTTTAATTTCTTAACATTTAACTTTTTAATCCATCGATAATTCCTGTAGACTAGAATTTGTTTTTGGTGTGTGTGAGCCAAAGATCAAGGTAGTTTTATTTTTTCCAGAAACAGTCATCCATTGTCCCAATTGATTGTTTACATGAAGGATATAGGAGGATCTAAAATTATGGGATTGTGAGTGAATTTTTTTCTGACTTCAGTTTTATTTTACTTTCCATATGTCCCATGAAAATGTATGATTTTTTTAAATTTGAAAAACAAGTCTTCTTTAAATATCATAAGTATTCATCCTGGCACTTGTCATGAAGAACCTTAATTTAAGAGTATCAGTTCCTGGAGTTAGGGTCTCTTAAAACCCCTGTGGTGATATTTTCCCTTTTGCTTTGGAATTGCTTTTAAGTATTTAGAAATTTTCTCCTTTGCAACTTTGAGTTCATGCCATAAAGATTTTGGAATTCAAAAATGTCTCAGTTTCTTTTGTAGATCTTTAGGTTTGGGTTCTACCAACATCCATACTCTGTACCATTTCCTCCAGCTATTAAAAACCTGGATAAAAACCCCCCAAATCGGCATTGCTATTAGGGCTATAAACCCTAACCTAAGAACTTTACAAGATCTTAAAACATAACACTTGCTTTTTTTAATTTCTTTTCTTTTTTTTTTCTTGCTCTGCAGGTAACATTTAAAAACCAGGCATCTCGTCCCTACTCCTTCTATTCTAGCCTTATTTCTTATGAGGAAGATCAGAGGCAAGGAGCAGAACCTAGAAAAAAGTTTGTCGAGCCTAATGAAACCAAAACTTACTTCTGGAAAGTGCAGCATCATATGGCACCAACTACAGATGAGTTTGACTGCAAAGCCTGGGCGTATTTTTCTGATGTTGATCTGGTAAGCAGGTCTGTGTTGTGCTGGCCTCTTTCTGGTTTAAAAGAAAGAGGCTTTGTGTTATGTTGGAAGTTTGGTATTTATCCTAAGCATAATGGGAAGCTTTAAATAGGGGAGGTGTCATCATATTTATGGCTTAGACATATCGCTCTGGAATCTACTAAAGAGGAAGAAATTGTACTGTGGGAAGATGGGGAGTGGGTTGGAGTGGCATAAAAGTTGATGAGAAATCCACTCTGGTTCATGGGTGAGAGAACTTTTGCTCACAGGACTGGTGTCTTTCAGGAAAAAGATGTGCACTCAGGCTTGATTGGACCCCTTCTGATCTGCCGCACAAACACTCTGAGCGCTGCCCATGGGAGACAAGTGACAGTGCAGGAATTTGCTCTGTTTTTCACTATTTTTGATGAGACCAAGAGCTGGTACTTCACTGAAAACATGGAAAGGAACTGCAGGGCTCCCTGCAACATCCAGATGGAGGACCCCACTTTTAGAGAAAAGTATCGCTTCCATGGTAATATATTCCACACCCAAATATTACTCGCTGTGAAATGAACCTTGAGCCTGAGGTTTCGACATTGTATGATTTGAGACTATATGTATGGGAGTGGAATCCTCATAGGGATCAATATTTTTTGACTGGAGTGGAGGGAAAGACACTTATACAACAGATTTTAACAGCTTTCTCTGTGTTCTTTCTCCAGCAATCAATGGCTATGTGATGGATACACTACCTGGTTTAGCAATGGCTCAGGATCAAAAGATCCGATGGTATCTGCTCAGCATGGGCAGCAATGAAAATATCCATTCTATTCATTTCAGTGGACATGTGTTCACTGTACGGAAAAAGGAGGAGTATAAAATGGCAGTCTACAACCTCTACCCGGGTACGAGCCACTTTGTGCTCTTTCTTCAACTTACTGTGCTTGCTGAAAACCTACTTTAAAGGTCTGTGCCCTGGGGATATGTCCAGTGAACAAAGCAGACCAACTCCCTGCTCTCGGGTAGCTTACTTTTTCAAGTAACTTTACCCTACAGAGAGATAATAAATAAATTAGCAAGTGAACATGATAATTTCAGATACAGATAATGTGCTATAAAGGAAATAGAACAGAATAAATGGATAATTGATGCCACAGCACTTTCCTAGGAAAAAGGGATTTTTCTACCACCTCAAATCCCACATGGCACCAGTAGTTTCCCAAAGACTGATTTGTTTATGTATGAAAGCAATATATTGATTAAGCACTCCTCACAATGTTGATCAAAACATAATTTCATTTTAGTTCTCCAGTGTCCCTTTAAAACAGGTTTAATAGTGAAAGTAAACTTCCCCTGTTTCTGTGTAAAAATTCTGATAAGCCCAGTGACTTTAAGCTCACTTTTTTTTTTTAAACATCTTTATTGGAGTATAGTTCCTTTACAGTGGTGTGTTAGTTGCTGCTGTATAACAAAGTGAATCAGCTATACGTATACTTATATCCTCATATCCCCTCCCTCTTGCGTCTCCTTCCCACCCTCCCTAACCCACCCCTCTAGGTGGTAACAAAGCACCGAGCTGATCTCCCTGTGCTATGCGGCTGCTTCCCACTAGCTATCTATTTTACATTTGGTTGTATATATAAGTCCATGCCACTCTCTCACTTCGTCCCAGCTTACCCTTCCCCCTCCCTGTGTCCTCAAGTCCATTCTCTGTGTCGCTTCTTTATTCCTGTCCTGCCCCTAGGTTCTTCAGGACCTTTTTTTTTTTTTAATTCTATATATATATGTGTTAGCATATGGTATTTGTTTTTCTCTTTCGGACTTACTTCACTCTGTACGACTGACTCTGGGTCCATGCACCTCACTACAAATAACTCAATTTCATTTCTTTTTATGGCTGACTAATATTCCATTGTATATATGTGCCACATCTTCTTTATACATTCGTCTGTCGATGAACACTTAGGTTGCTTCCATGTCCTGGCTATTGTAAATAGTGCTGCAGTGAACATAGTGGTACATGACTCTTTTTGAATTATGGTTTTCTCAGGGTATATGCCCAGTAGTGGGATTGCTGGGTCATATGGTAGTTCTATTTGTAGTTTTTTAAGGAACCTCCATACTGTTCTCCATAGTGGCTATATCAATTTATATTCTCACCAACAGTGCAAGAGGGTTCCTTTTCTCCACACCCTCTCCAGCATTTATTGTTTCTAGACTTTGATGATGGCCATTCTGACTAGTGTGAGGTGATACCACATTGTAGTTTTAATATGCATTTCTCTAATGATTAGTGATGTTGAGCATCCTTTCACGTGCTTGTTGGTAATCTGTACGTCTTCTTTGGAGAAATGTCTGTTAGGTCTTCTGCCCATTTTTGGGTTGAGTTGGTTTATTTTTGATATTGAGCTGCATGAGCTGCTTCTATATTTGAGAGATCAATCCTTTGTCAGTTGCTTTGCTTGCAGATATTTTCTCCCAATCTGAGGGTTGTCTTCTTGTCTTGTTTATGGTTGCCTTGGCTGTGCAAAAGCTTTGAAGTTTCATTAGGTCCCATTTGTTTATTTTTGTTTTTATTTCCATTTCTCTAGGAGGTGGGTCAAAAAGGATCTTGCTGTGATTTATGTCATAAGGTGTTCTGCCTATGTTTTCCTCTAAGAGTTTTATAGTGTCTGGCCTTACATTTAGGTCTTTAATCCATTTTGAATTTATTTTTGTGTATGGTGTTAGGAAGTGTTTTTTTTGTTTGTTTGTTTTTGCGGTACGCAGGCCTCTCACTGTTGTGGCCTCTCCCGTTGCGGAGTACAGGCTCCGGACACGCAGGCTTAGCAGCCATGGCTCACGGGCCCAGCCGCTCCACAGCATGTGGGATCTTCCCGGACCGGGGCACGAACCCGTGTCCCCTGCATCGGCAGGCGGACTCTCAACCACTGCGCCACCAGGGAAGCCCAGAAAGTGTTTTAATTTCATTCTTTTACATGTAGCTATCCAGTTTTCCCAGCACCACTTATTGAAGAGGCTCTCTTTTCTCCATTGTCTATTCTTGTCTCCTTTTTCAAAGATAAGGTGACCATATGTGCGTGGGTTTATCTCTGGGCTTTCTATCGTGTTCCATTGATCTATATTTGTGTTTTTGTGCCAGTACCATACTGTCTTGATGACTGTAGCTTTGTAGTATAGTCTGAAGTCAGGGAGTCTGATTCCTCCACCTCCATATTTCTTTCTCAAGATTGTTTTGGCTATTTGGGGTCTTTTGTGTCTCCATACAAACTTTAAGATTTTTTGTTCTAGTTCTGTGAAAAATGCCATTGGTAGTTTGATAGGGATTGCATTGAATTTGTAGATTGCTTTGGGTAGTTTAGTCATTTTCACAATGTTGATTCTTCCAATCCAAGGACATGGTATATTTCTCCATCTGTTTGTATCATCTTTAATTTCTTTCATCAGTGTCTTATAGTTTTCTGCATACAGGTCTTTTGTTTCCTTAAGTAGGTTTATTCCTAGGTATTTTATTCTTTTTGTTGCAATGGTAAATGGAAGTGTTTCCGTAATTTCTCTTCAGATATTTTTGTCATTAGTGTATAGGAATGCAAGAGATTTCTGTGCATTAATTTTGTATCCTGCTACTTTACCCAATTCATTGATTAGCTCTAGTAGTTTTCTGGTAGCATCTTTAGGATTCTCTGTGTATAGTATCATGTCATCTGCAAACAGTGACAGTTTTACTTCTTCTTTTCAGTTTGGATTCCTTTTATTTTTTTCTTCTCTGATTGCCGTGACTAAAACTTCCAAAACTATGTTGAATAATAGTGGTGAGAGTGGGCAGCCTTGTCTTGTTCTTGATCTTAGTGGAAATGGTTTCAGTTTTTCACCATTAAAAATGATGTTGGCTGTGGGTTTGTCATATATGGCCATATACTGCCATATATGGCCCATATATGGTTGAGGTAATTTCCCTCTCTGCCTACTTTCTGGAACGTTTTTATCATAAATTGGCGTTGAATTTTGTCAAAAGCTTTTTCTGCATCTATTGAGACGATCATATGGTTTTCCTCCTTCAATTTGTTAATATGGTGTATCATGTTGATTGATTTGCATATATTGAAGAATCCTTGCATTCCTGGAATAAACCCCACTTGATCATGGGGTATGATCCTTTTAATGTGCTGTTGGATTCTGTTTGCTAGTATTTTGTTGAGGATTTTTGCATCTATGTTCATCAGTGATATTGGCCTGTAGTTTTCTTTCTTTGTGACATCGTTGTCTGGTTTTGGTATCAGGGTGATGGTGGCCTCGTAGAATGAGTTTGGGAGTTTTCCTCCCTCTGCTGTATTTTGGAAGAGTTTGAGAAGGATGGGTGTTAGCTCTTCTCTAAATATTTGATAGAATTCGCCTGTGAAGCCGTCTGGTCCTGGGCTTTTGTTTGTTGGAAGATTATTAATCACAGTTTCAATTTCAGTGCTTGTGATTGGTTTGTTTATATTTTCTATTTCTTCCTGATTCAGTCTTGGCAGGTTGTGCATTTCTAAGAATTTGTCCATTTCTTCCAGGTTGTCCATTTTATTGGCATGTAGTTGCTTGTAGTAATCTCTCATGATCCTTTGTATTTCTGCAGTGTCAGTTGTTACTTCTCCTTTTTCATTTCTAATTCTATTGATTTGAGTCTTCTCCCTTTTTTTCTTGATGAGTCTGGCTAATGGTTTATCAATTTTGTTTATCTTCTCAAAGAACCAGCTTTTAGTTTTATTGATCTTTGCTATCGTTTCCTTCATTTCCTTTTCATTTATTTCTGATGTGATCTTTATGGTTTCTTTCCTTCTGCTAACTTTGGGGTTTTTTGTTCTTCTTTCTCTAATTGATTTAGGTGTAATGTGTGGGGTTGTGTTCCTGTCTCGCTAGTTGTTTGGCGTGGGGCATCCAGCACTGGAGCTTGCTGGTCATTGAGTGGAGCTGGGTCTTAGCGTTGAGATGGAGATCTCTGGGAGAGCTCTCGCCGTATGATATTACATGGGCCCGGGAGGTCTCTGGTGGTCCAATGTCCTGAACTCGGCTCTCCTACCTCAGAGGCTCAGGCCTGACACCCAGCGGGAGCACCAAGACCCTGTCAGCCACACGGCTCAGAAGAAAAGGGAGAAAAAAAGGAAAGAAGGAAAATAAATAAATAAAATAAAATTTTTAAAATTTTTAAAAATTATTAAAATTAAAAAGCAATTTAAAAAAAAGAAGAGAGCAACCAAACCAATAAACAAATCCACCAGTGATAACAAGTGCTAAAAACTATACTAAAAAAAAATGGACAGACAGAACCCTAGGACAAATGGTAAAAGCAAAGCTATACAGACAAAATCACACAAAGAAGCATACACATACACACTCACAAAAAGAGAAAAAGGAAATATATATATATATATATATATATATATATATATATAAAGGAAGAGAGCAACCAAATCAATAAACAAATCTACCAGTGATAAGAAGCTCTAAATACTAAACTAACATAAACATAAAAGCAGAAACAAATTGAGGCAGAAAGCAAACCCCAAGTCTACAGTTGCACCCAAAGTCCACCTCCTCAATTTGGGATGATTCCTTGTCTATTCAGGTATTCCACAGATGCAGGTACATCAAGTTGATTGTGCAGCTTTAATCCTCTGCTCCTGAGGCTGCTGGGAGAGATTTCCCTTTCTCTTCTTTGTTCTCACGGCTCCCAGGGGCTCAGCTTTGGGTTTGGCCCTGCCTCTGCGTGTAGGTCTCCTGAGGGCGTCTCTTCCCCACCCAGACAGGACGGGGTTACAGGAGCAGCTGATTAGGGGGCTCCGGCTCACTCAGGCCAGGGGGATGGAGGGGTACGGATGCGGGGCGAGCCTGCAGTGCACTAGCCGTGGTGCACTAACCCCTTCAGGCTGTGTTCACGACGCCAACCCCAGTCCTCTCCCTGCACTCCAACCGAAGCCTGAGCCTCAGCTCCCAGCCCCGCCCGCCTCGGCGGGTGAGCAGACAAGCCTCTCGGGCTGGTGAGTGCTGGTTGGCACCGATACTCTGTGCGGGAATCTCCCCGCTTTGCCCTCCACACCCCTGTTGCCGTGCTCTCCTCCGCGGCCCCGAAGCTCCCCCCTCCGCCTCCCGCAGTCTCTGCCCGCGAAGGGGCTTCCTAGTGTGTGGAAACCTTTCCTCCTTCACAGCTCCCTCCCACTGGTGCAGGTCCCGTCCCTATCCTTTTGTCTCTGTTTTTTCTTTTTTTTTTTTTTTTGCCCTACTCAGGTACGTGGGGAGTTTCTTGCCTTTTGGGAGGTCTGAGGTCTTCTGCCAGCATTCAGTAGGTGTTCTGTAGGGGTTGTTCCACATGTAGTTGTATTTCTGATGTATTTGCGGGGGGTAAGGAGATCTCCACGTCTTACTCCTCTGCCATCTTGAAGCTCCTCCTACCATACTCTGCTCACTCTTAAGTAATAAACAGTCCTGCAGTCACTTTACATCACAAATATAGTTCAGGTCACAAATTACAATGTCTACTCCAAGATATTAATCAAAATTCTGAACTTGATTTAAGTTCAGTATCTCGTCCTCCAAGTTGGTTGAGTTTTCTGTCTCGCTACCTTATGCTTCCCCCTGCACTCCTGGCTGTTGCTGGTCTGAACCGCAGCGGGGCAAGGGCAGAGGCGAGGGATGGCACCACTGTCTGCACCAGGCAGATATTTCAATCTGACTCTATGTTTGGTGGGGTACTTTCAGGGGCTCTTCAGAGACTCCCTTTTGGGACCGTCCCTCATGAAATCCCCTTGACCTGGTTGTTTCCACCTTTATTCTGGGTGGTCACTGTGACTGATTCCTCAGCCCCTCAGCATTCACCCTCTAGCTTCTTGCTCCTGGAGTTACTTTACCCCTCAAGGCAGGGAGCCCACATCTCGTCAATGAGAAATACACCTCTGGCTTCGAAAGGCACTGAGTGCAGGCCAATCTTTCTCCTGTCTCCACCACCAAAGCATCCCGTCACCCAGTCTCTCCCATTTCCTGGGGTCAGTACTCAATTTCCAGGGCCTCCAGCTGTAGGGGTCACATGCCAAGCACTCTGGGTATGAGGGGTCCAAGAATGGTGCAACTGACTTGGGTAGATCTCCTTTGATATTCTGCATAAGCCAGTGTATCTTATGCCCATTTGTGTGAAAAGAAATAATTTTTGTTCCTTTTGGTTTTGATAAGGTGTTTTTGAGACAGTGGAAATGCTACCATCCAAAGTTGGAATTTGGCGGATAGAATGTCTTATTGGCGAGCACCTGCAAGCTGGGATGAGCACGCTCTTCCTGGTGTACAACAGGAGTGAGTGGCACCTACCTCTATACCTCTTTCCCCCTTCCTAGGACGGTTGCTTTTGTCGGGAAATGAATACCAGCTCACAGTCCTTTCCAAATCTAAAATGAATATTGCTGGTAGAAATCATCAGAGCCCTCAGAGGAGGGCAGATATGCTTGAAGCTTTGAACACTTTGACCCTGAAGCTCCAAGCTCTTCAGTTACCAAAGATAACTTACAAATATCATTTGGAAGAATTTGAGTTTTCACCCTAAACAAGTAGGAGAACCACTGGTCTACTTACGTATTGACCCTAGTTTCCTCAGCTGCGCAATGTGAGTAGCAGTAGCACCTACCTGTTGGAGTGAATTCAACGATATAGTACAATAAAATATTTAGTACAGTTCTTGGCACATAGTAAACACTAGAAAATATGAGCATTTGTTGGTGTTCTCATTGACTTGCATTTGTGCAGCTATACTTTCTGCACTTCTGACTATCGTGCTCCCTTCATGTGATTTCAGAATGTCAGACTCCACTGGGAATGGCTTCTGGACGCATTAGAGATTTTCAGATTACAGCTTCAGGACAATATGGTAAATACTATTCCTTTCTCTTAAAGCACTGGGCTGATTATATCTTTTTTATTTCTATTGGAAAGATTCAGATAACCAATCCGTCTCCATAGGTGCCTTTCAAATCTATTTTCTCTTCTCCATTTCCCAGTGTGAGCATCTTAATTCAGGCCATCATCACTTCTCACCTGAGTAATGCCACTGCCTCCTTAAATGTCCTGCCTGCCTTCCGTATGGCTTCCCTTGAGTCCATTCTCTTCACTGTAGCAAGAAGCTACATTCTTCTGTGAGCAGTGATAGAAAGCTTGAACTGGATCTAGAGAGAGTTCTCAAACTACAGCCCGCAGGCCACATCCAGCCCATCACTTGATTTTGTATGGCCTTCAAGCTAAGAATCACTTTTCTATTCTTAAATTATTGGGGGAAAAAAACAAAAGAATAATATTTCATGACATGTGAAAATTATATGAAATTCTAATTTCACTGTCCATAAAGAAGCCACACCCTTTCATTTACAATCATCTGTGGCCGCTTTTGCTCTATAACAGCATTTAAGTAATTGCAACAAGACAAGATGATCTGCAAAGGTTAAATTATTTACAGAAAAAAGTTGGCCAAACTCTGTTTTAGAGGGAAAAAATTGCATTTGAAAAAAAGGCTTGAAAAACAAACAAATTGCTGGAGGAATTACCAAATTGTAAGGCCACTTTGAAAAAAAAAAGAAAAGAAAAAGAGGGCTTCCCTGGTGGCGCAGTGGTTGAGAGTCCGCCTGCCAATGCAGGGGACACGGGTTCGTGCCCCGGTCCGGGAAGATCCCACGTGCCGCGGCGCGGCTGGGCCCGTGAGCCATGGCCGCTGAGCCTGCGCGTCCGGAGCCTGTGCTCCGCAACGGGAGAGGCCACAACAGTGAGAGGCCCGCGTACCGCAAAAAAAAAAAAAAAGAAAGAAAAAGAGGCTTGAAAGTTATATACTAAAATAGTATTATTTTTCTCTGGGCGGAAGTATGTTGTTTTTTACTTCTTTTATTTTTATTTTTACTTACGTTTTATTTTTATATTTTATTTTCTAATTTTTCTCCAGGGAACATACATTAGGTAATAAAGAAATAATAATATTATTTGATAGTGATGGTAACACATTCCAGTATTAGCTAACTAGAGGTACTAACAATCAACAAAATTATTAAATTTTAGAAAATACAATGGACAACAAGGACAGGCCTGGTAGTAGTCATTGATGAGAGTTCTCAACCTACAGCCCGCAGGCCACATTGGTGGTCATTGATACTAATATGCTTTATGCCTTTAACGTCTCCACAGCTAGCATTAACCTTTCTCAAGAGTAATTTTATTCCTAAATGACTAGGACCAACCCAGCTGAATCTAATCTCTCTCCCCTTTCTTGGGCAAAGGACAGTGGGCCCCAAAGCTGGCCAGACTTCATTATTCTGGATCAATCAATGCCTGGAGCACCAAGGACCCCTTTTCCTGGATCAAGGTTAGAAAATGCATCGCATTCCGTCACATCGCACATTCCTCTTGCAAGCTCAAAGCGTTTTATAGTTTTATATTTCCTTTATACCAAAGTCATTTTCATCAAACTCCATGTAATAGACGAGGAAAGAACTGAAGAATAGCGTGGCTTATGATTTGTACCAAAAGAGTCAGGAATGAAAGACTCAGGAATAGAATTGAGTACACTGTGTTTTTAATCCTTCTGTGGGGATTGGAATCTCTGAATATTTTCTGTAACATTGAACTCACCACCTCCCAAGACTGTATTCTATCTTTAGATGCCTTCAACTGCCTAGATGTCCTTGAGTCCTCCAGTCCCTTCATTTTAATACAAAAACAAATGGCTCAATCCCCCATCCCACAAGCCAAGAAAACGTGGCTTCTTCATTTTCTAAAACTGAATCTTTCTTCTTCACAATTTCTACACCACCCAGTAGTAAGAAACACCTACTGAAGTTAGTCCAATCTGATAAACCAACTTGGAGCCATAACTGAAAGTGTCCTAGATTAACTCAATTTCTTTTAAAATGACCCAGCCTTTCGTATTTTCTCACTTCCCCATTTCCTCTGGAGCAGTGCTGTCCAATAGAAATGTAATGTGACCCACAAATGCGAACCACACATGTAATTTTACATTTTCTAGTAGCTGCATTAAAAAAAGGAACATCATTAAAATGAAAATCATTTTAATAATACATTTTCTTGGGAATTCCCTGGTGGTCCAGTGGTTAGGACTCTGTGCTTTCAGTGCTGACGGCCCGGGTTCAATCCCTGGTTGGGGAACTAAGATCCTGCAAGCTACACAGCACAGCCAAAAAAATAACAATAATAATAATACATTTTCTTTAACCCGAAATATCCAAAAATATTTTCACGTCAACATGTGATCAGTCAGGACTAATTACACACATTTTACCACCTACTTCCCCCACCTGCATCCTCTTCTAGTCCGTCAGCTTTCATCTTTTTCTCAGTCAGCTGAGGAAATTCCCCTACATACTTTACTCCTTTGCAAGATTGCATCTGCTCTCCTATTTTCCCTGAGGTTAAAATGATAAATAGGTGACTTCCCTGGTGGCGCAGTGGTTAAGCATCCGCCTGCCAATGAAGGGGACACAGGTTTGAGCCTTGGTCCGGGAAGATCCCACATGCCGCAGAGCAGCTAAGCCAGTGTGCCACAACTACTGAGCCTGCATTCTAGAGCCTGCGAGCCACACCTAATGAGCCCACGTGCCACAACTACTGAAGCCCACGTGCCTAGAGCCCATGCTCTGCAGCAAGAACCCACCGCAATGAGAAGCCTGCGCACCGCAACGAAGAGTAGCCCCCGCTCGCCGCAACTAGAGAAAGCCCGCACGCAGCAACGAAGACCCAACGCAGCCGAAGATAAATTAATTAATTAATTTTAAAAATTAAAATAAAATAATAAATAGGGATCAGGGAAAGATGAGCTAGCTTACCAGCAAGCAGACACAAAGAGTACATCTGCTAATGCCACATCAGCTCATTTTTTTTTGTTTTGTAGGCACTGCCAATTATGACTCAATTTGACCTGACCGCTAATTCCTAAGTATTTTTTTTGTTTGTGAAGCTGCCAAACCAGATGTCCTCACCTTGTATTTCTGTGGTTATCACTTTCAACTTTATATGTATCACCGCATAGTGGACATTTTAATCTATTTGGCTGCCCTGCATCTGTTCTACGTATTTCCTTTTTGTAATAGCATCCTCATTTCTATTTGGGGAAATCTATCTGCCTCACTGGATACAGTCTGATGAGACTAGTAAACAGAGCACCTTTTCCAAGCATAGCCAAAGAACCCTGAGTGATACAGCCTATTAAATTTCCGCTTCTTAGATTTGGCCGGTGTTCCAGCTTGCCAAGCTCTGTCTCCCAAAGTATTCTCTAGTCTTCCAGTTTCACACAGTTTACTGACTTGATCAGTAAACTTTTTTATACTTTATCAAAATCATGATCAAAATATTAAAGTATACAGGGCTTCCTTACTATGTAAACAAATCCAGCGACTAAATCCCTACCACAGCAATCTTCATTTCAGATAAGGAAGGTGAAGCACAGAAAAGTTAAATAACTTGCCCCATGTCACACAGCCAATAAGTGGCATAAGCAACTGCAGGTACCGGGTACAAAATCATGACTTACGTTGAACTGTACTGTTTCTTTGTGTAGCTGTAAACAAATAAAACATATATATAATATATAGTCTGTTTCCCCAGCTCAAATTTAAGTTCCATGAGGGCAGGACTCTTTTTTTAATTGTTCACGACTCTATTCCCAGTACCTAGAACAGTGCTTGGCACGTAACAAATGCTAAAAATATATTCTTTGAATGAATGAGTGTATGTATAGATGGAGCTTACAGTCAACTGAAAAAGATAGTCATTAAGCACAAGAGTCATGACCAGTCCAATCTGGGAGAAGTTAAGTTTGACTGGCTTGTTAGGGCAGTAACAGATGTCAAAATTCCTGTAATAGCTACTGCCTTGTAATGCTTGCGTGACCCATGCCCGCCTCTTTAAGACCCACTGTTATTCACTCATTCATTCCAAAACATGTGCTAAGCATCAGCATTAAGTCAGATGCTACGTTAGGTGCTGGGGCTAGAGAGAATATAAAAGCTAACAGGTAGTAACTGTTCCGTTACTGCTCAGCAGTGAGCTCAGCACATGTAATGTATTAACTCTTTAATCCTCTGGTAACCTTTTGCCATAAATACCATCATTCCCTCCACTTTACAGATAAAGAAATTGAGACATAGAGAGGTTAGGTGACTCAGACAGGTTTACTGCATTAAGGATCTCAGTCTAACAAGGAAGGCAAAAAGCATGAAAACTTTACAATGTGGTGCAATAATTTACTATAATGAAATTATATATAAAGTGAAATGGAAACAGAGAAGAAGCTGCACTAAATGTGTGCAGCACAAAGGACGTATGCAGAGGAAATTGGAGCTCAATGATGTGGAAGTGATTTCCTTTGTCAGGAAGTAGTCTGGGAACTCAGTGAGCACATTTCCTACACGTTCCCATCATATATTCCACAGCTTCACATGCATCCACATTTCAGCATTGGTCTCTGCTTCACCTGCACCTCCAAGGTAATACTGGGTGTATCTGTATCCATGTAGATTCTTCTTAAGCTGATAAATGATTTCAGAAGGTGGTACATACATTTAAAATAAAGGGTTGTTTTCATCTGTAGGTGGATCTGTTGACACCAATGATTATTCACAGCATCATGACCCAGGGCGCCCGTCAGAAGTTTTCCAGCCTCTACATCTCTCAATTTATCATCATGTATAGCCTTGATGGAAAGCAGTGGCGGAGTTATCGAGGGAATTCCACTGGGACCTTAATGGTATGTAATTAGTCCTTTTAAGAGAATGCATGAATCTTTTAAAGAGCTTTTGACAGATTTCAGGTATGGAACAAACACTCATAGCTTCCACAGATTTAACCCCCCAAAAAAGAATTTTCCACTCATGGGCAATAGGAGTGACTACGGACGTATGGACAAAAGAGTGGCAGCATCAAGGATCTCATAGGTAATAGAAATGAACAGGTGCTCTGCTGAGAGAAACATGTGATTCCTGACTGGGTAGATTGATAAGACTGTCAGTTTGCTTATGGACATTCTAGGTTTGAAGTGACAAAAGGGCAAGCGGGCTCAAAACCGTAGCTTCATCATCTACTTCTCCCTCATTCTTGCACCCCCTGATGAACAGCCACACATCCAGCCAACTCTTCCTTGGTAACACCTCTCCCATCTCTTCTGTTTCATTTATACAGTTGTTACTACAGCCCGAGGCCCCATCACCTCACACTTGACGTATTATGTTACATTCCTAACTAGTCTTCTTCTGTTTCTAGTCTCTTCTCTAATAAAAGCTGCACATCGTTTTGGGGATCATACTATCAGTCCCCTGCCTAAACCTTTCAATGTCTCCCTCTTGTCTTCAGAATAAGGTTCAAATCCTAAAATGGCCCCATGCAAGATGACTTCTGTTTGCCCCTTCAGATCCGTTTTCCTGCTTCGCTACCACGCCTCTTCTTCTGTGAGCCTGGCATGTGTGGAATATCAGGGTATTTCTTCCCTTGGCTGTTAACTCTCCACTGAAGGCCACTGCTCCCCTCAAAGTGGTTTTCTCTACATGTCCCAGTTACTATCGCTGAGTTGCCGATGACCCCAAAACTTAGCGTCATGAGAAAAGCCCATTTCGTTTTGTTCTTGGATTCTGTGGGTCAGGACTTTGGACAGGGCACAGCAGGGATGGCCTGTCTCTCTGCTCCATGGTATCTGGGGCCTCAGCTGGGAAGATGTGACAGCTAGGGGCTGGAATCATTTGGAAGCATCTCTACTTGTATGTCTGGTGGTTGGTGTTGAGTGACCTCTGGGGCTGTTGACTGAAGTAGCTTCTCCCAGCATGACTGGCCCAACTAGCAAGGTGGAGATGACGTCACCTTTTCTAATTTAGTCTTTTAAGTCATGTAGTATCATTTGCAATACATTCTGTTGGTTATAAGCAGGTCACACATCCACCCACGTTCAAGGGGAAGGGACCTAGACCCCACTTCTCAATGGGAGGAATGCACAGAATTTCTGCTCATTTTGTCTACCTAATCTTCTCCTCAGCCTTCCAGGCCTAGGGATGGCAGCACCCTGCCCCCGCCTTCTTAGCTAGTACCTTTATTAACCTTTCCTCAAATTATACGAATTTTAGTGTTCCGTGTTTCTTGCTGGAACCCTGCCTCGTACAGTAATTGCTGCCAAAAGTAGCCCCAGGAAACAGACCTTCAAAATGGAATTCTAGGGTTATGTTGCTAATATATTCAAGGAGCACAGGTATAATTCCCTGCTTGGGGAGAAGACTGGATGCGGAGTAACCTATGACATGCGGTGGCATCACAATTTCTCAGATTATCACCAGTGAGTGATACAATGGGATGAGCTACAGATGGTGAGGAAGACATTGGGAGATTAAATTGACAGTGGCATTTAGTTGCTATGGCAACAAGTTTAGCATACCTGATTGTAGAGTGACCTGTCTTCTTTTTATGGCCCTTCCTTTTACGGCATACATAGGGAAAAAAGAAATCAAATGTTGTGAATATATGCAAAGAACACCCATGAACATATGTAGAGAATCAGGATGCATCCATGGAGCGCTGGAGGAGCCTTCCATGTCCTGTGGTTACAGGCAGATACTTGGACCTAATACCAAATCTAGTAGCTGAGCATGTGAACTGCAGAGTCACAGTGACAATTAAATGGTCAGTCCCACCAGGCCTGTTATGCTAAGGTAAGGGCACTGGTGGAAAGGAATGGAACTCTGAGACCAGGGATGGGTACATTTTTTTTAAATTGGCTGTGCTGCACTGCATGCAGGATGTTAGCTCCCCGACCAGGGATCCAACCCGTGCCTCCTGTAGTGGAAGCCTGGAGTCTTAACCACTAAACCACCAGGGAAGTCCCGGGATGGGTACATGTAGGCAGACATGCATGAGGCTGAGAACTGCAAACCTCCAAATTGCCCTGAACCTCCTTTGCCTGAAGAGGTAACCCTTCCCCAGTCTCTGAAGCAGTCATCCATGCTCTGCATACAAGTCTCTCAGTGACTACACCTTGAATAGTTGCTTCCCAAGCCAGTGGCTAGTCTCCTTAGGGTCCCTGTTTGGCCACTACAAAAGCCAGACGAGTCATGGAAAAATGACAGATCATCACAAATTTAATCAGGTGGTGATGACAAAAACCCTGCAATTCCAGGTGTAGTATCTCCTCTGGAGCACATTAACACAGCCTCAGGCACCTAATGTGAAACTACAGACCTGGAAAATGCTTTCTTCTTCATTTCCATTGACAACCAAAATCAGAATAGGTTTGCATTTATGAAGTAGGAACAACAGTATTAACTTTACTGTCCATGCCTCAAGGCAATGCCACTTCCCTTGTTCCTTATCATAATATAGACCCTAGGGACCCCAAACATCTCGACATCCCACAGAACACCATACTGGTCCATTACATGGATGACATTATGCTGACAGGACCTGGTAAACAGGAAATAGTAATCACTCTAAATGCCTTTGTGATTAATACACGCACACACAGACACATACACAAACACATAAACATTATATATTGTGTTGTCAACTAAAAGAAAAATACACAACGTGAGAGTTGTGAATCAAGCTTTATTCAGGGTTTTACTGATGACTATAGCCTGGGAGGCAGCCTCTCAGATAGCTCTGAGGAACTGCTCCAAAGGGGTTGAGGGGAGGCTAGTTTACATATGATTTTTTTGTTAAGGAATACATGCAGTCAAGCATAAATCTTGGTAAAATATTACTGCTATTCACAAAGAAGAGATACCTCGAGTTCACGATTATAGTGTTTTTCTATGTACGGGAAGATGCAAGAGCAGGGTTCATTAAAATTCTTCCTGAAATGCATATTAACTACCTAACGGCCCGTTCGTCCAAAGCACAGAGCATCCTGTTATCATCTTTAACTTCCTGTCTAAAGCAGAGTGCCTCATCCTGTTATCCCATTCATCTCTTCCTCTGAACACCAAGTGCACTGTCCATCAGCGGCTGCAGCAGATATTAGTCTTTGTAGACTTGGATGGTGACCAAAATGCTCTTTGCTCTTCTTTTGTTTTCAGTGTGATATATATGTATAGATATAGATATATTAGCATATGTTTATTAAATATTAGCAGATCTTGCTTCTGACTTTAATGGGAATGGATCCCATATTTTGCTGTTTAACATGCTGTTAGTTTCAAATATTTTTAGTTTCTTGCTACTCCTACCTTATTTGGAATGGCTGTAGAATTTCATCAAATGCTTTCTCAGCATCTTGGATAGGATCACATTTCTTCTCTTTGCTATTGTCAGATTATACTCACACTCAATGGTGGGCTGGCGAATGTTTAACAACCAGCTCTGGGGCAAAGTGGGGGGCAGTCAGCACAAAGGCCTTTATTTGTAGTGTTTGCTGATTTCCATGATGTAAATATTCCCATCACACCTGATTTCAAGCTGCTGACACAGTGTCATTGAATGCAGAGTTGGGGGCAGACGCCCACAATTGGCTCTCACAAGCCAGTCCTAGCTGGGGCTCCAGCACAACGTGGTGCTGCATTCCTGGGAAAACTGCCCTTAAGTCATAGTGTATCAGTCATTTAAAGTTTAGCTGGTTCCAAGTTGCTAACATTTTGTTTAGAATTTTTCTATCTGTACCATTCAATAAAGTTGTTTTACCTCTTTGGGGGGCTGTATTTATCAGGCTTTGGCATTAGAGTTATACTAACCTTGAAAACAGTGTAAGAGCTTCCATCTTTTTCCATTAAACTATTGCTCTAGAATAGTTTAATTAATGTAGTAATCATCTGTTTAATGAAAATTGGATGGAAAAGCCACTGTGTCTCGTTTAGTGGTAGATACTTGAACTATCTTTTCCGTTCCTTATCTGATTACTGGCATTCTCATTTTCTGTTACCTATAGTTAATTGCTGTAAATGTGTACATTAAAGTTCTATCTCCCTTCCCATGCCATATATCTTTACCTACATGCACACATGTATCTCTCTTTTTCCCCCTTTATCAGAGTTGGTGTTTATCTATTCTATTGGGTTTTAAAAGAATCAACTCTTGCTCTTAAAATCAAACATAGATTTGAAGATGTTGTTTTCTAATTAATTAATTTCTGTTTAAAAATTTAAAAATTCACTTTCATTTATCTTCTTGTTTCTTAGAATCTGGAGTTAAATGACTAGTTCATTTATTTTCAACCTTTCTTGTTCAATGACAAAGATAAAATAGTTATTAACTACACTCATGAGGGTCATTCCTTGAACAGTTATTGAGTAACTACTATGTTCTAGGTTCTAGTGAAGGGCTGCACAAGCTAGAGCCCATGGACTTGGAGTACACCCTGCTTTTGCATATGGACTGTGAGTTAAGAATGGTTTTTACGTGTTTAAAGTTTCAAAAACAAACAAACAAGGAAGATTATGTGGTGTGAAAGGACTGAAATATTTCTCTCTCCTCCTTTACAGAAAGTGTTTGTGGACTGTTGGTCTAGTCTAATGGCAGTAGAGATGCCTAGACAGTTCACATTAACCAGAACCCTTCTATCCCAGAGCTTTTTGCCCAATTTACAAATTTCAGTCTTAGTCGTCTTCCTCCAGTATAGTGGTTCTCAAATGACTTAATATCTTTGTACCATTTACATACAGAATATTTTTTCATAAGCAACATTTCTCATCATAGAAGTCCCTTGTAAAGGGGAGCCCAAGCACCCTTTCAGGATCACTGCTTCACTGCCACTATTTTCAATATTTCATAATATTTTGAATGTTAATTTTGAATTGTCAATGAACATTTCAATGATGCAGATCTTTCCCTCTGGTTTTCAAGTTAAAAAGAACACTAATCATGTCCTGTCAACATAAGTTGATATATAGCAAGAGATTTCTGTCAAAATCACTGAAATCTGGCCTTGGCCCAGCTCTCCGTGCTATGAAGTTTCTGAGGGAGATACATAAATGAACCAATGGCAAACGGAAAAAAATCTTTAGCGTTTTCTATAGTTATGCTTGTATACCCAATACCAGGCTCTCTGGTAATCCCTCCCCCCACCTCCTCAAAGCAAGGAGTTTAGACCAGAGGTCTAAGGAGGCTTCTCCTTGCGCCCAAACCCAAATGCTGTCACCAGTCACGGCCCATAACTCCTAAGCATTCTTGTCATAAGGACAATAGGAAGGAGGCCAGAGCTGCAGCCCAGGCTGACAAGAGTGTACCAGCAAAAGCAAGAGCACAGGGGAGCACGCACCCTTACCACTGTGGCAACAAGCTGGACTAGGCTTTCAGGGCTCGGAAAGACCCTTCGGGCAGCCAAGCGAGAGCACAGGAAGCGGGGCTGAATCTGTCTCACATGGGCCTCCCCTACATTTCCTCAGCCACTGCTTCCACACTGCTGAAATAGAAGGAGAAAGGAATACCCTAAAAGCCCCATCCACTTTGGGACACTTAACTCATAGTGACGACACTCCACATATTCCCCCTCCCCCCCAAATACGCAAAACCAAGATCTGTTCCCAAACTGTGTCCTTAAATCTCACCTCAAAAGATTAGTGCCGTCTACAACTTCAGCCCAAAGGATGCGTTTTCCCAAGCCGAATGAATGAGATTATATTCTGAAGAGTTCCTACCATCACTCTCAACACTAAAGGAAATAAAATTGAATTTGAGAAAACAGCTAAGTCGGTTTGCATGCAACGTTTGGACCAAAAAGCCTCGGAAATTTAGTGTTTAAAAATGGAACGCCATCCTGCTTTTGGGGAACAAGGGCACAGTCTGGCATACACACGATCACACGATACCAAAGCAGCATGCCGATTTTACATATTGGAGTTAACTAAGATTGGTAGAAGGATCCGCACTACAAATAAAAGCTGCCACGTGGATTACCCGTACCTCTCGAAATGGAGCCAGAACTGCAAACTCCAGTGCACGTCTGACACCTCTGCTCTGGAGCCCACCCCGCCCTCACCCTCACCCCGACTCCCACCCCGCTCTGCACCGAACACATTCGCACCGCAGCTGAGAAAGGACCACATCGCAAATGATCTCTGTAGATTCACAGGCACACTGTCCATTTCGAATGAACGAATCCATCTTGGAGCTAAAAGGGAGCTATCTGCTTCTGCTTGCCGCCTCCTGCCAGGTAGATAAGCTATTCCCACTTTACAGATAAGGTAAATACGAACCACAAAGTCAGAATGGCTTTATCACGGACTGGGGGCTGTAGCGACAACAGCGTAGTACTGAATCCGATGATTCCCACGAACACGTACGGGGCGCATGAAACACAGGGGGAACTGGGCGATCATGCAGGCGGACATCGAAATACGCTAATCAGTCACCGTGAAAAAATCATGCAGCTTAAGTAGCGAGCCAGAGCTGTGCAAATTAACCCTCAGTCGGAAAGAAGGACGCGGGGGGAGGGGAGCCTTGCGGGGGAAGAGGGGTGGGTGGGGACAGTTGGGTGAAAACAGAAGAGGAAAGGGGGCGGAAGGGACTCTCATGGTTCTGTTGCAGTTTCTGGGGAAGAGAATGGGAGACTCTACTCCGATTCTACCATATGGTTTTTTTTCTGCCACTATTGTGGAAACAACGTAACTTGTAGTCAACCACATTCCTCTGGTGGCAACATGGGTAAGATACACTGCAAAGGCAGAAGCGCCGGGTCAACGCCTCTTGTGTCCCCGTAAACGCGCAGGCGGGTGCGTGAGGCTCGGGGACAGGCACAGAGTCGCTGGGAGGGACTCGTCAGATCCCCTGGCCCGACGGGGAGATGGTTTCCTGCAGAACGAGGTGCAGGAGATGGTTCTGCTCGGCGCTCAACAGGGGCCACATCTCCACCTGCAGCGACTTGACGGCTTCCGTGTCCTTCTCGTGGGTGGCCATGACCAAGGACTGCAGCAGCAGGAAGAGCTCCTCGGGAAGCGGGCCGCTGCTGTCCTGCCCGTGGCCGTCGAAGGCCTCCCAGGAGTACTTCTCCAGGGTGTGCGCGTGCTCCGGCAGGAGCTTGGCGGGCGGCGGCTGCAGGAGCAGCAGCAGCAGCACGCGGGACACCTCGCAGCGGACCAGCACGTCGGCGAAGGCGCCCAGCGCGGCGGGGGAGGGCGCGGCCGCGGCCGCGGCCCCCGCGCCGGGCAGGAGCAGCGCGAGCGGTGGGGCGGAGGCCGCGCCGGCCCCGGGCTGCGGCGCCGGCGGCTTGGGCTGCGGCTGCGGCGGGGGCTGCGGCCCCGGCGGCGGCACCGGGTGGCTGCCGTACTCCCGCGCCAGGAGCTGCATGCGCGTGAAGAGCGCCAGGGCGCTGCTGTAGTCGCGCGCCAGCAGCTGGCAGGACGCGGCGTCGCCGAGCGCCTGCAGGGCGGCCAGGGGCAGCTGGGGCAGCTGCAGCTGCGCGGCGCGTTGGAAGTGGCCGGCGGCGGCGGCCGGCTGGCCCAGGTCGCGCAGGGCGGCCGCCAGCTCGAGGCAGAGCGCGGCGGCGGCAGCCGGCTGGCCTAGCTCCAGGTGCAGGCGCACGGCGGCGCCCAGGGCGGCGGCAGCGGCCTGCAGCGGCTCCCCGTAGGCGGCGGGGCAGGCCAAGCGCTGGCGCGCGTCGCGCTCCTGCCGCAGGAAGAGGCGCGCGGCCTCGGTCAGCGCCAGCGCCTCCCCGGGCCCGTGGAAGAGCGCCTGCTGGCAGCGGGCCACGGCCAGCTGGCACCAGGCCGCGTACGGCAGGCACTCCTGTGCGCGCAGCTCGCGACCCAGCTGGCCGAACTGCTCGCCGGCCTCCGCCACGTTAGGCTTCCGCAGGAACCGCTTCTTCAGCTTGTTGCACACCTGGCGGTAGCGCGCCAGGAAGTCCCCGGCCTCAGGCCCGGGGCCCGCACCGCCACCCAGGCCGGCCGCGGAAGCCGCCATGATCGCCGCTTAGGCACTTCCGGGCGCGCTGACGCAAGTGGGCGCACGTGCTGGGCGACGGCGGCGGGCTGAGACGTGTCCTGCGACGGGCTCCGGCCCACCACGCGACCGCGCCGGCTCGGCCGCCCGGAGCTCTCGTCGCCCTGGTGATATGCAAAATAGCAAGCACGGAGGCCCGGCCGGGACAGGCTGCGGGTGGTGTATGCAAATCGGGGGCCCTGGGGCGGGGCGGGGCCCGCTGTCCGGGGTTCTGTGAGCGGACCAATGGTGCTGGGGCGGGGCCCGGCTGGGCGCCCCCTGTTGCTAGGTGACAGCTTTTTAAAACAAATTTATTTATTTAATTTATTTATTTTTGGCAGTGTTGGGTCTTTGTGCTGTGCAGGGGCTTTCTCTAGTTTCGGCGAGCGGGGGCTACTCTTCCTTGCGGTGCGCGGGCTTCTCATTGCGGTGGCTTCTCTTGTTGTGGAGCATGGCTTCTAGGCGCGCGGGCGTCAGTAGTTGTGGCACACGGGCTCAGTAGTTGTGGCTCTCGGGCTCTAGAGCACAGGCTCAGTAGTTGTGGCGCACGGCCTTCCTTGCTCCGCGGCATGTGGGATCTTCCCAGACCAGGGCTCCAACCGGTAGGTGACAGCTTGTTTACGCAGGTTGCCAAGAAGGGCATCTCTTGGCATCTCTAGGGGAACACAACCAAAAACTCTTGACCCCGCGTGACCCTAATTCTGACTTTGCCTATGTGTTGATTGTGTCCCGCCCACCCCAATTCCGATCACGCCTCAATCTTCCCGTCAAAGCCCCTGCCCCATGGGAGTCCATGCCAAGCGCTCTGTCCACCCACCCCTGCCTCCCGCACCCAGGGCGGTCGGTCGCCTTGGCACCTTCACCCTATCACGACACCGCCCTCGCGGTGTCGAGCGCCGCCGCAAGGAACCCCGTCCCTCTGGGGACTTTGGCCTGGCTCCGACTTGCTCAGAGCCAGCGGGGGAGCCTTCTGTTGTCCGGCCTCACCCCAGGCCCCAGTCCGCCCCCAGCCCCGCCGCAGCCAGCCTCTCCCACCCAGGGCCACCCCATGCACTGTCACCGTGGGAGACCGCTCCTCTCTGTCTGTGACCCCCGACTCCACGCCCCCCACCCCCCAACTCTGGCCAGACCCCCGCCCCCATCCCTCCGACGAGGGGTGTCCCACCACCACCACCTCCCACTCCAAGTGAGTGAAGCATGCGCAGGGGGTTTCTTGAAACACTTTATTGACTCGCAGTGACTGTGCCCAAGGCGGCGGGCAGGCCGGGGCCGCCCGGGCTGTGCGGTCGGTCGGTGAGCGGGCCTGGCGCCTGGGCCGCGCCCCCCGGGGGCCGGGAACCCAGGTGTCGTTGGGCAGCTAGGGCTGGGCCAGGGCCACCTGGGAGATGGTGCTATAGTCCTGAACAAATCGCTGAGCAGCGCATTGCTGCGGGCCGCCACGTCCACCAGCTCCGGAGTGAGGCGCCTCCTGCCGCTGTTCTGGGCCTCATGGCGCGCCAGCTCCAGGACCCTGGCCGCCAGGTACTGGATGATGGCCACTAGGTAGACGGGTGCGGACGAGCTCAGGAGCTGGGCATAGTGGCCCTCCCGCAGGAGGCGCTCCATGTGGCTCACGGAGAAGGACAGCTCGGCTCGGGCGGTGTGGGAGCAGCGACCGGGTGACTCTCGATGGCCCCTCTTCCCCAGCATTCTGGCCGTTGGGCGCGCTTTCTGCGACGGCCTCGCTCTGCGGTGCACTGGGATGAGGTGCGGCGGGATGAGGGGCGGTCGGTTGTGCCTGCTGGTTCCCAACATCTCAAGACAACCGGTGTTCTCAGGCCCCTCCTCCGTATCCTAGCAACCATAGGCCGGGCCCTCATTGGTCGGGGAGCACCCTGTGAGGTCACTGCTTTCCCATAACCCCTCCCCCACCCCACCTCACCCCGCCCCCACCCCCTCCACCGGGATCCTGGGCCTGCAAAGAAATGGCGCTGGCAGGATCCTGCTCGCTGTGCTCTCTGGACCCTCTCTTTGGTGGAACTCTCACTGTCCACCAGACGGGAACTTTGTACAGAGAAGGCAGCTAATGGCGGACCATCCAGGGGCACCAAGTATACACTGGTGGTGCTGGGCCACCATCACGACTATATATCTGCTTCCAAATGAATAATATTCCTGGCTGAATAATATTCAGCAGGCTGAATAATATTCCAACGCGTGGCTAGACCACACATGTTGTGTATCCGCTCAGCAGCTGATGTACATTTGGGTGACTTCCGCCTTGTGCCTGTCGGGCATAGTGCTCTGGTGAACATTCCTGTGCAGGGATCTGTTTGAACACCTGTTTTCAACTCATTTGGGTTTACAACCCATGGGATAGATCTATGGGTTTATTTATGGACTCCACTGATCTATGTGTCTATCCTTATGCTAGTACCACATAGTTTTGATAACTGTAGCTTTGGACTAAGTTTTGAAATAGGGAAGTGTGAGTCCTCCAACTTTTTTCTTCTTTTCCAAGATTATTTTGGCTATTCAAGGTCACTTGAAATTCCGTATGCATTTAGGATTGGCTTTTACATTTCTGTAAAACAGAGCATTGCGATTTCCATAGGGATTTCATTAAATCTCTAGACAACTTTGGGTGGGATTGCCATCTTAAAAGTATTAAGTCTTCCAGTCCACAAAATCTGCTGTCTTTCCCCTTTTCTTTTTAAGGTCATCATTCATTTCTTTCAGCAGTGCTTTGTAGTTTTCAGTGCACAAGCCTTGCACCTCCTTGGCTAAATTTATCTCTGTGTGTTTTATTCCTTTTGATGTTGTGTGAAATAGAACTGTTGTCAATTTCATTTTGGATTATTTTTTCATTGCTAGGATATGGAAACACAACAGATTTTTGTGTGTTGAACTTGTATACTGCAACTTGGTTGAATTCGTTTGTTAACTCTAATAGTGTTGTGTGGATTCTTTAGGGTTTCCTGTACAGAAGAGCATGTCATCTGAGAATAGAAGTAGTTTAACTTCCTTTCCAACTTCGATGCTTTTCATTTCTTTTTCTTGCCTCATTGCTCTGACTAGGACTTCTGTTACAGTCTTGAGTAGAAGCACTGAAAGCAAGCATTCTTCTCTTGTTCCTGATGTTAGGGGAAATGCTTCCAGTCTTCCACCATTGAGTATGACATTAGCTAGGGTATTTCATAAAAGCCTTTTATTTTGTTGAGGAATTTCCCTTCTATTCTTAGTTTGCTGGGTGTTTTTTGTTTGTTTGTTTTTTAATCATGAAAGTTGTTAGATTTTGTTGAATGCTTTTTCTGCATCAACTAAGATGATCATGAGGGTGTTTTCCCCCTTCATTTTATCAATGTGGTTTTGACTAATCAGTTTTCTTATGTTGAGCCATCCTTGCATTCCTGGGATAATTCCTATTTGGACATGGAATGTAATATTTATAATATGCTGCTGGATTCAGCTTGCTAGAATTCTTCTGAGGATTTTTGCATCGATATTCATAAAGGTTATTGGTCTGTAATTTTCTTTCTTCTGGTATATATGTCTGGCTTTGGTATCAAGGTAATGCTGGCCCTATAGTATGAGTTAGGATGTTTTTCCTCCTTTTCTATCTTTTAGAAGAGTTTGGGGAAGGATTGGCATTAATTCTTTAAACACTTATTAGAATTCACCAGTGAAGCCACCTAGCACATAGTTTCTGGCACATAATACATGGAATCTAGGATTTCTGTAGTCATTAACTATTTGTTGAATTAATACATTGTCTTCCTAAGAAGGTATCTAATCAAGACACAATAATTGAGTTAAAAATGAAGCAGATCTATTTATCAAAAATAATGCTGTGCCTACAGATTGTCATACTGAGTGAAGTAAGTCAGACAGAGAAAGACAAATACATGATATCACTTATATGTGAAATTGAAAAAAAAGTGTACAAATGAACTTATGTACAAAACAGAAGTAGAGTCACAGATGCGGAAAACAAACTTATGGTTACCACAGGGGTAAGGGGGGATAAATTGCGAGATTGGGATAGACATATACACAGTACTATATAGAAAATAGATAACTAATAAGGACCTACTATATAGCACATGGAACTCTACTCAATACTCTGTAATGACCTGTGTGGGAAAAGAATCTAAAAAAGCGTGGATACATGTATGTGTATAACTGATTCACTTTGCTGTACAGCAGAAACTAACACAACATTGTAAATCAACTATACTCCAATAAAAATATTTTTAAATGCTGTGATTTCTGGGGCAATGCTATACATTTATTAACATTTTTATCCCATAGGAAGAAAAAATTGTTACATGGAAGAACAATTTTTTAAATTCCCCATAATACTATAACTCTGATGTCTGATTATATAACAGCCATACATTGATTCCTGTTTTAGTGTATTCAAGCAGATAGAGAATCCCAGGTGTTTTATGAGAGAGGATTTTCAACTTTCTTTTTTCTATATACCATGATTTAAATCTAGGCCTTTTGAATTGGAATTACTACCATATTTCTCAAACTGTGTTCCTTATTCCTTAAATATGTCATGTACTTTTCTGTAGAACCTAGACATGTCAAGTTCCTAAACCCCAGAAGTTGGATATTAACATGTGTCTCATGAATTCATACACAAGGGATCATTAATTAACGCCCCACAGCGCACACACACACACACACACTCACACACACATTATTGGAAGATCATCCTGAGACCATATGGCAGGCCGCCTACTCCAAGTCCCCTTTCACAGCTGCAGCCGACTCTGCCCTAAGCTGGTGTTTCTCAAACTGTATGGTTTGATTCAGTAGATCTGGAATAGGGCTCAAGATGTTGCATGTCTAATTGCTCCCAGGTGATTCTAATGCAGCTGGTCTGTGGCCCACACTGGATTAGCAAAGGCCTAAATGGCTTCCACAACTTTGATGAATGACCGTTTTACAGGACCCCAAAGTAGACACTTAACCTGCTCAGACCTAATCTCCCTTGTTCCATTCTTCTCCCTGTGATTTTCTCCTTCGCATATTACATTCTAACATCTGGCTGGCCAGAATGGTTTTATTTGGGTGTTCGGTGCTGTTGAGAAATGCACAGAGCAAATTAGAAGAAAGATATGATTGGGAGGAATTGCTTCTTATTCTTTCTTCATTTTACATGTATCTGTGCTAATACCTCCCTACAGGTCTTCTTTGGCAATGTGGATTCATCTGGGATAAAACACAATGTTTTTAACCCTCCAATTATTGCTCGGTATGTCCGCTTGCACCCAACGCATTACAGCATCCGCAGCACTCTTCGCATGGAGTTGATGGGCTGTGATTTAAACAGTAAGTGTCAAGTCATCCCATGTCCTTACCTCTCCCAACCATGAGTAGGATGGCTAACCATCCTAGCTTTCCCGAGACTGGGGGGATTTCCCAGGACACAGAACTATCAATGCTAAAACCAGTACAGTCCTGGGCAAACCCATGACTTGGTCATCCTAACCACGGGATTCCCCAGGGGCAGCCACCTCCTACACTACTATTAACAAGGCAAATCAAAGTCCAACAGAGCTGAGCAGAGCTGACAAGAAAATAGGGGGCATCTTAACAGTAGCATGCAAAAGTTAGTGCCTGGAAAATGACTTCGTGATGACAATAGCCCTAGAACATATCCGTGGAGACAGGCCAGCAGAACCTCAGCTGCAACTTGTTCTTGTGATTACATTCTCCTTTCATTTCTCTGAGGTTGCAACATGGCACTGGGAATGGAGAGTAAAGCAATATCAGATGCACAGATTACTGCCTCATCCCACTTAAGCAATATGTTTGCCACCTGGTCTCCTTCACAAGCCCGACTTCACCTCCAAGGGAGGACTAATGCCTGGAGACCCCGGGTAAGAGGGAACAAATTTGCCATATAACTGATGCAGAAGAAGGAGTAGTGGTTGGGAAAGGATAGGGTAAGCTCTTGACTGTTTCTTCAGTTACTTCTATCACCTGCTTGTTCCCACAAAGAGTGTCAAGGAAAGTTGACTATACACAGAAAACCCCACAGATATTTATTTAGTGGGTGTGCCATGTGAATGGGGAAAATGATCCCTAATTGAACCTCCTAGAAACAGAATATCTATATGTAGTACTGGGCTAATATTTGTCAAAGAATTGGAGTGGCTGAAATCCAGTTTTACAGAGAAATATCAACAAAGCAAAGGGTCATAGTTACGTACAGTTCATTGGGCACAGTTCTTTTCTGGAACCACTCAGTTTGTGATTTTCAATCACTGACTAGCTTGGGGAAATGGATGGAGTTAATGGTCTCTGTTCCCTCAGGGGCTTATTTTAAACAAAATAGGTTGTATAACACATTGCCAAACTTTTAATACTCTAGTCAGTCTGTATATTACTCATATATTCATTCAGCAAACCTTTACTGGGCCCCTATTAAGTGGCTAACCCTGGGGATACAGAGATGAATCATGAAAAATTTCAGCCCTCAATTTGCTTCGAGTCTAATAAGGGAGACTGACAAACAGATAATTAATATGCAGTGATAAGTGCTGTGATATGATTAAGAAGGGATTTGGGGATTTCTGGGAGCAAATAGTGACCAAACAGATACTACTCTAATGCACCTGGTGCATTCCCCAGGCAAATAATCAAAAAGAGTGGCTGCAAGTGGACTTCCGGAAGACAATGAGAGTCACAGGAATAGCCACCCAGGGGGTGAAATCCCTGCTCACCAGCATGTATGTGAAGGAGTTCCTCGTATCCAGTAGTCAAGATGGCCATAACTGGACTCTGTTTCTCCAGAATGGCAAAGTAAAGGTACGCTGATCTCCCAGGAAAGGCACAAAGCCTGTCTTAGAACTTGACATTTAGAAACATAACAAGGTTGATATATGACCAGACTTTCAGGATAAACTTTACTGAGTATCTATAGTAATAGGACACGATGAAAGGCATCCTGGGAGGACACAGTGACTCCAAGCAAGAATGTATCCTCCCAGGAAAGAGCAGAGTAGAGCCAAAAGTTGCTTATCCTCACAGATGTTGGTGTCATTCAGGATGGTGGCCCTTACCGACCTCTCTAGCATAGTCTCTTGCTACTCGCTCCTTGGCTTTCTAAGCTCCACCCATACTAAGGAACCCTCAAGTCCCTAAAAACAGCATGTTTTTTCTCACACTAGGCTTTTATATGTACTGTTTCTTCTACCTAGAACATTTTTTCTAGGTACTTCTTATTGACCCTTTCACCTGGTGCATTCTTCAAGTCTCAGATAAACATCATCTCCTCCAAGAATTCCTTGTTCCCTCAAGGCTGGATTAAACATTTTTGCTTCTGGCAGTTTAGTGAACCAGAGTACTGATAATGTATGTTCTAGAGGACATTCCCATTTTAAAAAGGGCATATCTCTGATACATGCTGTAACATGCATGGCTAAATTAATTAGAGCAGACACAAAAGGACAAGTATTATATAATTCTACTTATATAGTAGTCAGGGTTCTCCAGAGAAACAGAACCGATTGACTCACATGATTATGGAGGCTGACAAGTCTCGAGATCTGCAGGGTGAGTCAGCAAGCTGGAGACCCAGGAGAGCCAATGGCGAAAGTTTCAGTCTGAGTGTGAAGGTCTGGAAACGGGGAGAGCCAGTGGTGTAGTTCCTGTCTGAACCCAGGAAGTGCCAATATTTGAGTTTGAGCCCAAAGGCTGGAAAAAACCCAATGTCCCAATTCAAATGGGCCATGCAAAAAGAATTCTCTCTTACTCAGACGAGGATCAGCCTTTTTGTTCTATTCAGACCTTCAACTGATTGCATAACGCTCACCCGCTTGGGGTGCTGGGGGACAGCAATCTGCTCTACTCACTCTACTATTTAAATGTTAATCTCATCCAAAAACATCCTCACCAACAGACCCAGAATAATGTTTGACCAAATATCTGGACACGTATGGCCTAGACAAGTTGACATGTAAAATTAACAATTACAATGAGACTGAAAGTCGAATAGAGGTTACCAGAGTCTGGGAGCTGGGGAGGATGGAGAGTTATTGTTTGATGGAGACAGAGTTTCAGTTTTGTTTTTGTTTTTATTTTTTGGTTTTTTGTTTTGTTTTGGCCGCGCTGCGCGGCTTGTGGGATGTGGGATCTTCGTTCCCTGACCAGTGATTGAACCCGTGTCCTCAGCAGTGAGAGCACAGAGACCGAACCACTGGAGCACCAGGGAATTCCCCAGAGTTTCAGTTTTGCAAGATAAAGCGTTTTGGAGATGGTTGGTGGTGATAGTTGCACAACATTGTGAATGTACATGTTATGTACTTGTTGTCAAACGTACCTGTACGCTTAAAAAGAGTTAAAATGTTAAAATATATGTTATGTATATATTACCAAAATTTTTAAAAGGCTATAGCACTGATAGTACATACTTTTTTTTTTTTTTCGGTACGCGGGCCTCTCACTGTTGTGGCCTCTCCCGTTGCGGAGCACAGGCTCCAGACGCGCAGGCTCAGCAGCCATGGCTCACGGGCCCAGCCACTCCGCGGCATGTGGGGTCTTCCCGGACTGGGGCACGAACCCGTGTCCCCTGCATCGGCAGGCGGACTCTCAACCACTGAACCACCAGGGAAGCCCTATAGTACATACTTCTTAATGCACTGCTACACTCAATGAAGAAAGGGGACTCTCCAGCCTCCTCACCACCAACAGCAAAAAACAAAACAAACAAAAAAATGAGCTTTTATTTTAAAATAATGAGCTTAAATCAGAGCAAAGAGAGGTGAAAAATGAGAAAATGTAAAATGGAGGAACTTTCGTAAAGGCAAATGCTTATATTAGTGTTGTTCTCAGGAGACCAAGCTTCGAGCAAAATGCAAGAATGGAATGTGAGACTTCTGCATTAAGTAATGAAACCCAGAAAGTAGCAGAACTAGTTGCAGATAAGTAGCACCTCCTGGCTTCTGGAAGAATGATTTCTCTAGAGAAAAAGCATTCCCAGTTTAGGTCTCCAGGATTCCTACATATTAAAATGATAAGATCATAAACATAGATCAGCAAACATACAAGATAACAAGCCAACTTGACTACAAATGGGCAGAAACAATCAATACAAATTTAGAATCTGAAGAATACCAGATATTGACATTATCAGATATATATCATAAAGTAATTATGCACAAAATATTTAAAGCAATGAGCTATGGAAACATAAAAATAAATGACAAATTATTAGGCAGTTTTGGAAAAAACAGTACTTTTAGAAATTAGAAAACGTCATTGTTGAAGTTTAAAAATCAAAGAAAGACTTAATAGTGAATTGGGCACAGCCAAAGAGAATTTAGTCACTGGAACATATATCTGAAGAAATTACCGAGAATGGAGCACAGAAGGTGAAACATATGAAAAAGAAATTGAGACATATGCTATACAGAGAAAGCCATATATATATAAGTGGAATCCAGAATGAATGAAAGAAATAGTGGAGAAGTGGCAAACAAACAAGGATGACCACTTTCACCACTTCTGTTCAACACTGTACTGGAAGTTATAGCCAGAGAAATTACAAAAAAAATAAAACTAAACAAAAGGCATTCAGATTGGAAAGGAAGAAGTAAAACTGTCTCTCTTCACCAATGATATGATTTTATCATAGAAAATCCTAAAGAACCCACAAAAAGCTATTAGAACCAATAGATGAGTTCAGTAAAGTTGTAGGATACATGATCAACACACAAAAATCTGTTGTGTTTCCATACACTAGTAGTGAAAAATCTGAAAAGAAAGTTAAGAAAAACATTTCATTTACAATATCATCCAAAAGAATAAAATATTTAGGAATAAACTTAACCAAGGAGGTACAAGACTTATACACTCAAAACTACAAAACATTGCTTGAAAAATTAAAGAAGACCTAAATGAATGGAGAGACATCCTGGGTTAATGGATTGGAACACATTATTAAGATGGCACTACTAACCAAAGCTTTCTACAGATTCAGTGCAATCCCTATCAAAATCCCAATGGCCATTTTTGCAGAAATGGCCAAGCTGATCTTAAAATTCATCTGTAATTGCAAGGGACCCAAAATAGCAAAAACAATATCTTGAAAAAACAGTTACAGGATTCACACTTCCCAATTTCAAAACCTACTACAAAGCTACAGTAATCAAAACACTGTGGTAGTGACATAAAGATAGAATTCAAGTCCAGAAATAACGCTATACATCTATAGTAAATTGATTTTCGATAAGGGTGCCAAGACCATTCAATGGGAAAAGAATAGTCTCTTCAACAAATAATACTGGGAAGACTGGATAGCCACATGCAGAAGAATGAAGTCACCACACACCATATACAAAAATTAATTCAAAATAGATCAAATACCTAAATATAAGAACTAAAACTTTAAAACTCGTGGAAGAAAATATAGAGGTAAATCTTCATGACCTTGGATTTTACAAATGGTTTTTTAGATGTGAACCATAATCACAAACAACAGAAGAAAAATAGATATGAAAAGAATTCTTAAACTCAACAAAAAGACAACCAAATTTAAAAATAGACAAAGGACTTCAATAGGAATCTCTCCAAAGAAGATATACAAATGGCCAACAAGCACATCAACACCAACATCATTAGTCATTAGAAAAATGCAAATCAAAACCACAATGAGATATTACTTCACACTTACTAGGATGGCTATAATTTTTTTTAATACAAAAAGTAAGAAGTGTTAGCAAGGATGTAGAAAAATTGGAACCCATACCGCTGATGGCAATGCGAAATAGGCAGCCACTGTAGAAACCATAGAATTACCATATGATCCCAGCAATTCTGCTACTGGGTATGTACCCAAAGGAACTGAAAATAGGCAATTAACAAAAACTTGCAGGCAAATGCTCATAGCAGTACTATTCACAATAGCCAATGGGTGAAAATGACACAAATGTCCATCAACTGGTGGATAAACAAATTCTGGTCTATCCATACAGCTGAATATTATTCAGCCATTAAAAAACATAGACATGCTGATGCATGCTACAATATAGATGAACCTTGAAAATACGCTAAGTGAAAGAAGTCAGACACAAAAGACTACATATTGTATGATTCCATTTATACGAAATATCCAGAATAGGAAAATATAGAGAGACAGAAAACAGATTAGTGATTACAAGAGATTGGAGAGAAGGGTAAACGGGGAGTGGCTTCCTGATGGGTACTGGATTTCCTTTTGGAGTGATAGAAATATTCTGGAACTAGATAATGGTGAATGTACTAAATGCCACTGAATTTTACAATTTAAAATGGTTAAGATGATAAGTTTTATGTTATGTACATTTTACCACAATAAAAAGGAACCAGAAGACACATACATTACCATAATAAGAGTGACAAGCTGACAGGTGATTTCTAAGCAATAATGAAAATCAGAAGATAATTAATGATATCCATGTGATGCTAAAAGGAAAAATCTGAAACCTGCCCCCAAAAGAAAGAAAATCTGGTGAAATATTTTTCATGCATTCAAGCAAAAACTAAAACAATTTTTCAGGGACTTCCCTGGCAGTCCAGTGGTTAAGACTCTGAGCTTCCACTGCAGGGGGCCTGGGTTCAATCCCTGGTGGGGGAGCTAAGATCCCGCAAGCTGCGCAGCCACAGCCAAAAAAAAATATTTCCAACTTGCGTGACTGATTCTACCACCCAGTAAAATCCTGCCAACATAAAAAAATGAGGATATTTATTAACCTTATGACAGTAAATTTGGAAGATTAGGTAAGATGGATAATTTCTAGTAAATATAACTTACTCAAGAAGGAATCAAAAACGCTGAAACTCCTACAACCATTTTTTTTTATTGGCCACGCCCCACAACTTCCTGGATCTTAGTTCCCCGACCAGGGATGGAACCTGGGCCCCCTGCAGTGGAAGTGCGGAAACTCCTACAACCTTTGAAAGATTGAATTGGTGTTCAAAAATCTTCCTACAAAGAAACCTCCAGATTCAGATGGCTATATTAAATACTCTACCAAATTATCAAGGGAGAAATAATACCATTATTACAAAGATTCTTCCAGAAAAATGGAAAAAGCTTGTATTTACATTATCCAACTCTTTAAATGATGACAACAAAGACAATTTTATTAGAAAAGAAAATAATAGGCCACCTTTACTCATGAACATAGATCCGAAACAAAATATTAGCAATATGTATGTGTTAGATTTATCCTAGGAATGCAAGGTTGGCTTAACATTAGAAAATTAATGCAATCCATCACATTAATAAATGCTGAGAAAAAGATTCATAAAATTCAATATCTATTCTTAATGGGAAAATTTGGCAAACTAAGACTAGTAGGGAAACTACGCAATCTGATAAAGGATATTCACAAAAATTTTACAGCAAATATAATATTTTAGGTGAAACACAGAAAGGTTTCCCTTTGAGATTAAAAATAAGATACCATTTATCTATTGCTGCATCACAAACTACCCTGAAACTTGGCCACAATTTTGTGGATCAGGAATTTAGGTTGATCTGTCTGGCTGGTTTGTCTGTGATCCATGGGGTTTCAGTGGGTATGGACGGATGGATCTACTTCCTAGCTGGCTTCTTTGCTCACCTACCTGGTATCTTGGTTCTCCTTGACCTTTTCATCCACTGGTGTCTCTTCAGGGCCTCTCAGCATGGTGGTCTTAGGATAGTCACTCTTCTTACATAAAAGCTAGATTCCAAGAAACCAAGGTGGAAGCCGTCAGTCCTCTTGAACTTGGCACAGCATCACCTCTGCCGCCATACTCTATCAGCCTGCAGAATCAATTGCCCCCCCCAACCTAAAACAAATCAAAAGACACATGCGCCCCAATGTTCACTGCAGCACTGTTTACAATAGCCAGGACATGGAAGCAGCCTAAGTGTCCAAGGACAGAGGAATGGATAAAGAGGATGTGGTACATATATACAATGCAATACTACTCAGCCATAAAAAAAGAACGAAACAATGCCATTTGCAGCAACATGGATGGACCTAGAGATTATCATACTAAGTGAAGTAAGTCAGACACAGAAAGACAAATATCATATGATATCACTTATATGTGGAATCTAAAAGAAATGATACAAAAGAACTCATTTACAAAACAGAAATAGACTCACAGACATAGAAAACAAACTTATGGTTACCAAAGGGGAAGGGTGGGGGGAAGAGAGATAAATTAGGAGTTTGGGATTAACAGATATACACTACTATACATAAAATAGATAAGCAACAAGGATTTACTGTATAGCACAGGGAACTATATTCGATATCTTGTAATAACCTATAATGGAAAATAATCTGGAAAAAAAGTATATATAACTGAATCACTTTACTGTATATCTGAAACTAACACAATATTGTAAACCAACTATACTTCAATTTTTTTTAAAAAAAAGGGAATTCCCTGGAGGTCCAGTGGTTAGGACTCTGCGCTTTCACTGCAATGGCCTGGGTTCAATCCCTGGCCGGTAAACTAAGATCCCGCAAGCTGCGTGGCACGGCCAAAAAAAAAAAAAGTCAAAATACACCCACCTCTCCATGGGAGGAGTATCAAAAAAATTCATAACCATCTTTAATCTGCCCCATCCACTTTTATTAAAAACTGTATTGGAGGGCCTAAGTAATGCAGTAAGGTAAGAAAAAGAAATAAAATGTGTTCGGATTGGGAAAAAAAGCCCTCTCATAATATGTGGAAGATACGATGGCATACATAGAAAATCCAAAAGAATCTATCTATCTAAATTATTAGAATTACTAAGATAAGTTTGCAAGCTTGCTGAAAACAAAATCAATAGAAAATTTTATTGTATTTCTACATGCCAGAAACAAATAGAAAAATAATTTAAAATAGCATTTTAAAATTCCAAATACTGAGTTGCACATTCTCATCAAATAATGGCAGCTGCCTAAATCTCTCCATACAGCCTTCAAAAACCATCTCTCTATCTAACTATCTCTCTGTAGATATATTTTAAAATTGAAAATAAAACCACCCATAACTCACAGAATAACTAGAAGACAAAGAATACCATAAGTTTCAGTGGTGGAAATTAAGTGTTCTGGAAAAGCAAAAATGAGTCACAAAATCACAAGACATATCTTCCTATCCCATCTGTTACAGAAATTGCACTTCTCTTTATCAACAGTAGAGGGTGCTTGTGGACTAAGAAACCTAACAAGCCACCCAAACCTCTTATCTGACTACGTATTGTAAAATCACCTCATTGCTGTGATGAATGAACAGAAAATAGCAGATGAGGTAAAAGGTATTATTCTTTTATTTTATTTATTTATTTATTTACTTATCTATTTTTGGCTGCATTGGGTCTTTGTTGCTGCACCCGGGCTTTCTCTAGTTGTGGCGAGCAGGGGCTACTCTTCATTGCAGTGCGCGGGCTTCTCATTGCGGTGGCTTCTCTTGTTGTGGAGCACGGGCTCTAGGCACACGGACTCAGTAGTTGTGGCTCACGGGCTCAGTAGTTGTGGCTCGTGGGCTCTACAGCGCAGGCTCAGTAGTTGTGGCGCATGGGCTTATTTGCTCCACGGCATGTGGAATCTTCCCAGACCAGGGATCGAACCCATGTGCCCTGCATTGGCAGGTGGAGTCTTAACCACTGGGCCACCAGGGAAGTCACAAAGCTATTATTCTTGATTTTTCACTTCCTCCTTTTTTGAAAACTCCATTGACTTTGGGCTTCATAGTAGGACTCATGTTGACCAATGCAGTGTAAGTAGACATGATATAAACCACTTTCCAACAGAAGCTTTCAATGTGATCCTGTGTTTGGCTCAGTCTCTGGTGCCTCTGCTCTCTGCCATGAGATAAAAATGTCCAAGCTGAGAAGACATGGCGTACGTGAGCCTTGGCCTGGAGCAGAGCCTAAGCCAACCCAGAACAGTCTTGGTTTCCAAATACCATTTCCTAGTAAAAGGAACCTGGGCTCCTTAGAGATTTCAAGACCAGAGCCAGGAAACTGCTAGGTGTTACTGGAACATCTTGGAGTCCATTATCATCATCAAAAATATAAAGGGAGAGGAGACGTTCTTCTCCACAGAAGAATTCCAGCTAATAAATGTAGGAGACATGACAAAATTAAGAAACCAATCATCAATACAGTATATAATACTTGTAAGGAGCTTCAGTAGATACTAAAACCATTGGATGAAAGCTTAATGTGGAACAGAATATTTACACAGTCTCAAAGTCTAACCCCACAGATTGTTAGGCAAGGGAAGTTATTACCTTTATAAAAGAGAGATCTGGTGGACATCACCTTAACTAAGGGTCAAACTCTGGAGGAATCGGCATCACGTGTCCTCTGATGTGATATGGTGGGAAAGGCACATCACCTAGTTAATATTCTCACTAACGATGTTGAACTGAAATCTAATAATAAGAAAACAGTCACACAAATTTAGAATGTGGGACATTCTACAACGCAATGGTCCTAGACTTTTTAAAATGTCAACACCATGAAGGACAAAAAAAGACCAGAGACTAGGAGTCTGTTGTAGATTAAAGGAGATTTAAGTGTTCTTTGTATTATTCTTTCAGTTTCTTGAGGGAAAAGATCAAGGAATAAGTCTAACAGAAGATGTACAAGCCTCCAAAGTATGCCACAAATATTTATCCAAGAATCTCTTTTGTTTCCCGGAAGTTTTATCAAACACACAACCTTTAACAAATGTTTGTAGTATATTTGCTACGTATATACTGTATATATTGTGCGTGTGGAAGGTCGGTGACCAAGGTCTCTGCTGTCATGGAACCGACGTTTGGTGGTGAAAACAAATGAAATGGTCAATAAGCAGGTAACCAGGTAACTGAGAAGATTCTGAATGGTGTAAAGGAAACGAACAAGAGGAGATTCAGAGTCAACAAGAGTCCTGTTCCAGAGATAACATTTAAACTGAGACCCAAAGCCTCGGCAGGTTGAAGTGTTCGGGAGTAAAATATGATGTTTACAACTTCCTTGAATTAGTTGGGAAAGTGGGTGAGAAGATTCCAGAGGGAAGCCATAGCTGGAAGCACGGCCTTCACAGGAGGTTAGCAAGGATGCTCTTAATTCTGGATGTCTGTCACAACCACTTTCCCAGGTACAGAGGCAGGGGACCGAGTCATCCAGTCACCTCCCAGGGTTCAATCCTGGACTACCGGAAGCGTGGGTCCCTCAATTGGAAGTGAAAAAAAGCGTGCGTGCTGGGCGATGGGCATTGGAGTGGGTGCCCGTGAGGGGGCGGAGCTTAGGGAGAGTTACAGACCAAGCAGGAGGCCAATGGACTTGGGGAGCCTCTCGGGTGTGTGTGTGTGTAAACATTATAACTCTTTTCCTGTCAACCAACAAATGCTATCTCTCCTCTTTCAGATTTTTCAGGGAAATCAAGACTCCTTCACACCCGTGGTGAACGCTCTAGACCCCCCGCTGTTTACCCGCTTCCTTCGAATTCACCCGCAGAGCTGGGCGCACCACATCGCCCTGAGGCTGGAGCTTCTGGGCTGCGAGGCGCAGCAGCAGTACTGAGGCCCGGTCCTTCCTTCCTGGCCCCGGGCCCTTTCCTGGTTCGGGTCCAGCATCCCTCAGAGCCCGCCCTCCGGGTCACTTCCTGCCCCACGCTGCCCACGGTGCCATCGTTTTTCTATGTATTCCAATTCCTCAGTCCCGGCAGATATGCCCTGAAGCCTCCCAAATCAATCGTCATGTGTCCTGCGTTCTCTGGGGCTGTTGCATCCAATTTACCTCTTGCGCATTTGCTGCGGCCGCTCCCAGATTGGTCCTTCCTTCCAAGGTACTCAGGCAAAAAGCAATGAGGAAACTCAGCTGGAAAGCATTCTCCTCTGGGCACGGCCACCACTTCCTCCTCTGTGGTGACCAAGAAAGGTCATGATCATACTAGGCTTCTAAAGGACATATTTTTAATATTTCCACAGAAAAATGAGGAAAATCCATGGCTCTCTGGGATAGGAGATACAACATTGTAATTCTAATCATGCACTCATTTTACTCCCTCCTCAGCTAATTTCCTGCTGAAACGACACAACAAAATGTACCAGGAAATTCTGCACCCTAACTGCCCAAGAGGAACCCCCACCTCGCCCCATCCCTGACAGATAAGGTTGGGAATGGTTTACTGTCCTGTAAAAGTCCATTAAGGTTAGAGGTTAATTTACAGAAATCAATAAGGTGATATGGTTTGACTCCCTGTAAAAGGTTAACCACTTTTATGTCTAACTTAATCACCTTGTTTTGGCATTCTTTTCCCATTGACCACATACATCTTTATTTTTCAAATGCTCTTGAAACCAGCTCTTTTGTCTTCCCGCTGGTTCCCTCAAGAATCAGTTAAACAAAACATTGGTGTGTGAAAACAAATGCCTTTGAGAGTTGTGCTTTTATACTGGAAATAAAAATGTGAACAATGAAATTTTATAATTTATGAGGTGAAGCTAACATTTAAAAAATTAGAAATGGAGCCTTGATCCAGTAGCAGAGAGAGAGATTCTTAACCTTGACATCCATTAGCACTAGAAGGAGTAAAGGCAGTAGTCTGGCCTCTGGCCCATCCCACAAACCCCCCTTTTATAAGTTTTCTAGAGGTTGTGACCAACCAGAATCCGGGAGAGGCTGCAGCAGAATGTAGTGAACCTAATGTGAGAAATGCTGTATTTGCATCGCCCAGATCTCCTGGGATCACTTTTACGAGTTCAGTGTTTGCAATCATACTCCAGCTGATTTGGCTAATGGGGGGCCTGTACTCAGAAACCTACAAGACCCTGATGAAGATGACACAGATGGACAAATATACTGTGTTCATGGATTGGAAAAATTAATATTGTTAAAATGACAATGCTACCCAAGGCAATCTACAGATTTAATGCAATCTTTATCAAAATACCAATGGCATTTTTCCAGAACCAGAACAAACAATTCTAAAATTTATATGGAAATACAAAAGACCCTGAACAGCCAAAACATCTTCAGAAACAAGAACAAAACTAGAGGAATCATGCTTCCTGACTTCAGACTGTATTACAAAGCTACAGTCATCAAAACAGTATGGTAATGGCTCAAAAATAGACAAAAACAGACACATAAACCAATGGAACAGGATACAGAGCCCAGAAATAAACCCACACACCTATGGTCAATTAATCTATGACAAAGGAGACAAGAATATACAATGAAGAAAAGACAGTCTCTTCAATAAGTGGTGCTGGGAAAACTGGACAGTTACATGTAAAAGAATGAAATTAGAGCATTTCCTCATACCATATACAAAAATAAACTCAAAGTGGTATAATTATTTTGGAAAACAATCTGGCATTATCTACAAAAGTTGAGCATAAAGATAGCCTGTGGCAATTCTGTTGGGTAATGACCTAGACCCAGAACTGCCATGTGAACCAAGAGACAGGGCAAAACTACCCATAACACTTCCAAACTGGAAACAACCCTTATTGCATATATTTCCTAGTGGCTCACTTTAATTGCAGTAGAGTAATCCATTATATAATATATGTCACAATTTATTTATCCATTGCTTTTCTGACTGATTCATTTATGCCAGTTCTTCTGTGGAGCTGATCATCCTTTTTAAAAAATTGATTTGTAAGAGTTCTTTGTATGTTAAGGACATTAACCTATTATCTGTCATATATGTTGTGGAATTTTTCACCTAGTTTGTCATTAATCTTTTATCTTTCTTTACAATGTTTTGCTGTATGAAAGCTTTACATTTTTATGCAATAAATTTATCATTATTTTCACCTATGGCTTTGGGGTTTTATGACATATTCAAAGTAGCTTTTTTCACCCTAAGATTACAAAAAACTCCACTCCTGTTTTATCCCGATATGTATATGGTTTTATTTTTGTTTAGTCCTTGATCCATCTAGAGTTTATTTTTGTGTGTATGGCTGTCACTTCAGTCAGTGCATCCGAATGAATAGCCAGTCATCACATTAAACCATCTCTTTTTCCCCACTGAAATGAAATGCCACCTTTATCATCTATTAAAATCCCATACATACACTATTTGAAGGTGCAGTAGATACCATGTGGCAAACAAAATATCTTAGAAAGCTTCAAGCCCAAGAGGATATGGCTACCATGAGGATGGGTTTCAGTATCGACACAAATATTTACGCATAGACAGAAGAAAACATCTGTATGCTTAGCTGTCAAATAGAGGGAGACTGGGGGCAGATCAAATGCGGTAGATGACATCATAAGGAGGAGTAGAATTCTATTTGGAACTTCAGAAACCTTGAAGGAAGACTCTGGCCAGCTTCTTCTTAAGACGGAGGCCTGATTCACTGGCTTCTTTGCCACCTTACCTGACACGGGTCTCAACAGTGGGTGAGAATGTCAGTTCTAAATGTCTTAAGTAATAGAAAGCTCAAATAGGGGGTTATTTTTCTCAGACCTAGTAGTTGAGAGGTGGGCAGATAGAGGTGTTGGTTTAGTGGCTTAAAATTGTCAGAGCCAGAATAGGTGTCATTTTCTTGGCCTTTTCCTTGTGTCCATTGCCTGATGGTCACAGGATGGCTCCTCCAACCCCAGGTAACACTTAAAGAATGTTCAAGGCAACACAAAGGGGAAATGGTAGCGCCATTTCTTTTATCAAGACAGCAGAAAGTCTTCCCAGAAGCCACCCATCAGATCTCCATTATGCTTCAGTGTCCAAAACTATGTCCCACAGCCATTGCTAGCAGCAAGGCTGGCTGGGAGAAAGCGGATTCCGCTTTTCTAGCCTCTCCGGTTGCACGTAATAAGTGAAGAGGGGGTGGTGATGACAGGCAATGAACAATATCTGCCCAAATTCACCACCCATTCATTCATTCAAAAAATATTTATTGAGCACCTGAACAGCCTATGTGAACAAAACAGAGAGGAGCACGTGTGGCTTGTTCCAGAGGAAATGAGGCTGAGGTGGAGCGATCAAGAGTAGATAACAGGCCATGAGGTCAGGGAAGTCAGTAGGATACTACCTGACTTACAACAAAGTGAGATCTCTTTGGCTGTTCAGTGGCAGCAAGCAGGAAGCTATGAACTCCTGTGACTGCAGAACTTCTGGGCCACCGCCACCCCCATGATGGACTGTGCCCCCTTATCCACTGAAATTCATACCTGGTTAACCATTTATACTGCTTATTTGCTGATTCAGTAATAAACCCAACTCAAAACAAAACAAAATGAAAAGGATGTGGGACTGAAAAAGTGGAGTCAAAGATGACACCACAGGGTTTGGCCTGAACAACTTAAAAGTTTCCACTAATTGAGCTGGAAAAGCCCAAAGGGGCATGTGGTTTAGGAGGGGATGTCAGGTACCTGATCCGATGGAGCACAGTCAATTTCTGTCTTGTGTTGTTTTGTTTCTTGAAGGCGGGTTGGTTTTTGCCTTGGAAACTGACTGTGTTCAGGATTCAACAGTGTCAGTAAGTGAATTTTTCTTGTGTTCATAATAGCTCTAGGTTTGCAATAAAATCTAAACCACCATTTTCTGACTTTTCAGACAGAGCTGCCTTGGGACGAGCCAAGGGAAAAGCCATCTCCCCTCGGTGCAGGCCCTCGGGAGGGCGCATGGAACCCCCAAAGCTGCTGAGCACTGGATTTCTGCTGTGCTCTCTGACTTGCCTCTTGTTGGAAACTGTCGCTTTGTCTCTGTCACCTTTATCTGCCTTCGGAAAACAAGACCAGGATGGATTGGAACCACGCTCAAGGGGTGTGTTTGCTGTTACGATGAATGTTCCTATCTTCATAGGACGTAAGATTCCTGTCTCCGGTCAGGAAAGAGTGATTCTGTATTTTAAAAAAAATGTTCACAGGAAAGCAAAGTATTTCTGGTTTGGTTCAACAAGCATGAACCCACTAAGCCAAAGCCACAGGTGTCAACCTTCCATAAAATATGACAAATACTCCCTGAGGACAAAGGGATAATTAAAGTTGTCTGGGGGGAGGGGTCAAGAGGACTTCAGAAAGGAAGCGAAATTTCAGCTAAAGCTGACGAGCCGCTGACCCATGGCTTAGCTGCTCCCGAAGCCCAGCGTGGTGCCGAGTTCCTTCCCATCGCTGGAAAGGGTACCGTTGTGAGTGGTGAACCCTCCTGACTTCACACCACAGACACTTCTGTTTGCCCTGCCTCTTCCCCGATCAGCAGACCCTGAACCTCCTTCTGCCGGCCGCCCCGGCCTCCTCCTGTTGGTGCCACTGGGCGGGCAGCCATCTCCTTTCTCCTCACGGGACACCCAGGGCCCTCAGCCTCCCGAACCCCCTCTAGGCAACAGCATGGTGTCTATTAAGTCGTGCTCCTCGCTCACAGTGTACCCCATTGATTCACAGACACCTCCAAACAACCTTTAAGCGATCTGGGGCGGACACCATTGTTCCTATTTCACATACAAGGAGGAAAAGATGATGTCCATCTGAGGATACCTTTGTTTTCCCAAAAGTGTATCCCTTTAATCTCTCAGCACAGCAAAGTTGTTAGGAATATGGGCCCTGGGCAACTATAAGAACCTGAGATCTGGGACAACTATTTGAACTTGAACCAGGTTTCAAATCCCAGCTTCATCACTTACTCGGGCTCTCTTCAGTGACTGTCTATGCTCTTCCTGCAGAAACTTCCAGGTCCTGGCTGAGCAACTTCAGTGATTACCTGTGGGATCTCATCAGGAGCTCCATCCCTACAGCTGCCATTTTTGCTTTTCTGATCATTTCAGCGATCATGGGGACCCTCTGTTGCCTCACGTAAGCTGCTGGGGGGAGGAGAGGGGGAACCGAAGGAGAGGCAGGAACAGCCAAGTTCCACACCAGCCTGCGCATCTGTAACTAAGGGAAAGTTCTGAGGAAGGTGATTGTGGGAACACCACTCTGAAAGCCCATGTGTGCCCCTTTGAAAAAGTCTCCTGCACGTTCTCTTTTTTTCTCTAACCCACTCCCTATGTTTCCAGCCACTGACACATGACGTTTAAAGACCAGTGTTTGCAATTGATCTTTTTTTTTTCTTACACTAACTTCATTAACTCCTAATTATCCTTCCCTTTAGTTTAGGAACTATACATGGAAAACATATGATTAACTTTTCAACTGCCTGAAAATTTGCTGAAATATTTATTATTAAATCATATGAAGCCAAAGAGATTCCTGAAATAGCTAACAAAATACTTAAGCTTAGCTAGCAAAGCCTGAATTTCATTAATTCAATCAGTATTTACTAAGACATGACCACTTGCCTGTCTCTGTCCTGATTACTAGAGACAGAGAAATAAGACAACTGAATGATTACAACCTGGTGGCTCAGGGCTGTTCAAACTGCGGACTCTAATAAAGTGGCTGAGGTCAAAGATCAGGTGAAGGGTGTGGCATCCCCACCTAAGGCTCCTGATAACCTCAAAACGACCACAGATCAAGAACCATGTCTAGGAAACAAACTTGGATATGGTTCCTGGCACCTAGAACTCACAGGAGCCAAACAGAACTAAATGAGCTATTCACTGTTTGAGCCGCACAGCAGTACCCAGACCTCGGATCGGCCATGAGAAGGACACTTGCTTCAGGCACGGCCACAGAGAATAGTGGACCGGGGAGCGTCCTGGAGGATGGGCCACAGGCAGGGAGCTCCCCCTTCTAGGAGGAAGAGCTGGGCCTGATCAGTGTCTGGCCAGCAGGATTCCAGAATGACTACAGAGCAGGGAGTGCTGTAGGCCTCCCGGTCTTCCTCTTTTCAAAGGGAAGGGTTTACAGCCGTTGCCCTCTTCCTGCACCATCACTGTATGGGGCAGGGGTGGGGGTGGAAGCTGGAGACCAGGGGCACATGGTCTACTTCGGTTCAAAGCTCTCTTAACCAAGAAGA